TGTAAAAGAGAAACTAAAGGAAAAACGCATTATTACCATAGTGTCATTGGATATAGAGGGAGCCTTCGATAGCGCGTGGTGGCCGGCTTTGGAGGTCCGATTGGCTGAGGAAAAGTGTCCGGAGTACTTGAGACGGGTCATCAGCAGCTATCTCAGCGATAGAAGAGTCTCAGTGCGCTACGCAGGCGCTGAATATGAAAGGGCTACCAGCAAGGGTTGCGTGCAGGGATCCATCGGAGGCCCAATTTTGTGGAACTTGCTCCTCGACCCATTAATTCACCAACTTCAAGCCAGAGGTGAATACATACAAGCATTTGCTGATGATGTGGTCCTGGTCTTCGATGGAGACTCTGCACTGCAAATAGAAAGACAGGCAAACACCTCCCTCGAACATGTTCAAGCGTGGGGCGTCCGAAATAAGCTCAAATTCGCGCCGCACAAAACTTGTGCGATGACAATAACGCGGAGGCTAAAGTACGACACACCACGCTTGAACATGGGCGGAACGGAGATCGCCACCTATAAAGAGCTCCGGATCTTGGGGCTCACTATCGACGATAAGCTCACATTCAACACACACGTTAGGAATGTATGTAAAAAAGCTATCGGAATGTATAAAATCCTCGCGCGTACAGCCAGAGTTGGTTGGGGGTTGAGTCCTGAGGTTATCAGGGTGATATATGTGGCGGTAGTAGAGCCTACAGTGCTGTACGCGGCTGCAGTGTGGCACGAATCGGTATATAAGCTGGGAGTCCAAAAACAGCTAAACGTTATTCAAAGGGGCTTCGCTCAAAAACTTTGCAGGGCATATCGCACGGTCTCCCTGAACTCGGCACTGTTAATGGCTGGGATACTCCCTTTGGATCTTCGAGTTCGAGAGGCAGCCTCTCTATTTGAGGCCAAGAAGGGGGTATGCCAGTCATGGCTTGGGGACAGAGAGATCGAGCGAATGTCATCAGCGATGGATGCCCCTCATCCCGCAGAGCAACAGAGTCTGGAGTTTGGCAATCTGGTAGACGAAGAACAATACAACAATCTCAACCACCTTGACGTGAGAATTTTCACGGACGGGAGCAAGATTGAGGGCCGAGTCGGGGCCGCTTTATCCATTTGGGATGGTGAGGTCGAGATAAGGTCCCTCAAGCTTGCTCTCGCACCCTACTGTACCGTCTATCAGGCCGAACTCCTGGCTCTGAGCTATGCGGTTAAGGAAGCCCAGCTCCGAAACGGGTCTACTTTTGGGGTCTTTAGCGACAGCAAAGCGGCACTCCTCACAGTCATAAATCACGGTTCCCTCCATCCACTAGCCGTAGACATAAGAAAAATGTTAAAACAATGCGCACTGCAAAATAAGACCGTTGCCTTATACTGGATTAAGGCACACGCGGGATTGGAGGGAAACGAGCGAGCAGATCAACTCGCTAAGGAAGCCGCTCTGCTGTCGAAAAAGAGCCCAAATTACGACCTGTGCCCCGTTTCATACGTCAAGCGAATCATCCGGAGTGGTTCGCTTGACGAATGGAACAGGCGATATCGGGATAGCGACAGAGCATCAGTCACTAAAATGTTTTTTCCGGATGCAGTAGCGGCGTACAGCACTGTAAGAAAGATGAGGATAACTGGGCACATTACCCAGTTCACTACGGGGCACGGAGGGTTCTCCGAATACTTGGCTAGGTTCAAGTGTAAAGGGGACCCCTCGTGTGCCTGTGAACCTGGCATGCCGGAAACGGTTGAACACCTGCTGACCAGTTGTCCCATTTTTGGGAAGCAGAGGTTTGAGCTTGAAAATAAAATAAACAAAATCGTAAATAAGGAAAATTTGTGTAAATTGCTTGTTGAAAAGTATACTAAGGAATTGTTTATAGATTATGCTGTACAAATAGTAAAAGTAGTGAATAAGAAAAACAAAGAATGAAATTATGTTATCACAATATCGTGAGTATATTGTAGAGTAGCATTAATGGAAGAAGTTAAAATAAATAGTAGTTAAGTATAGCGTAAGATATAGTCAGTAAGAAAAATTGTAAGTAAATTATTATGTAGATTAAGAAATTGTAATAAAAGTAAACTGCCCATCCCATAACATCCTAGACCCCAAGTTAAGATTAGAATTAAAGTATGAATGAGAAGAACGAAAGTACGAGAGGGATAAATGATAGAACTGGAATGGTAATAGAGGACGGAATGCCTGAGAAGACCCTAGACTAAGCAACAAAAATGAAAGACCTTATGTCCAGCCTTCAAAGCTTTGCACCCTTGCAGAGAAAAGAGTGACTTAAAAAAAAAAAAAAAAAAAAAAAAAAAAAAAAAAAAAAAAAAAAAAAAAAAAAAAAAAAAAAAAAAAAAAAAANGTGCTGGTATCTTCGTCGACTGCCGGCGCACCGGCGTCGCAAACCGGCGATCTCCACATTCCACCAATAGACTTGGCGCCTCGGCGCGTACGCTCGGACGCGGGGCATGGCGTGGTCGCAGACTCGCGACATCGCCTCGCGCAGCCGCTCCGCACCCTCGCACACGCCCGCCGGCTCGCCCAGGGAGTCCAACCGCCAAGCCTGGACGAAACCTAACCTAACCTAACCTAACCTAACCTAACCTAACCTAACCTAACCTAACCTAACCTAACCTAACCTAACCTAACCTAACCTAACCTAACCTAACCTAACCTAACCTAACCTAACCTAACCTAAACCTAACAACCTATCGAAGGACTTAGAAAGCTCGAGAAGTACAAGATAGCGGGAACCACTACTAGAGATGTGTGGAATATTCTTGATAATTCTAGGGATGAGATGTCGGCTATAAAAGCGTTGTAGAGATGGCACGCAGTTAGTAATCGGAGCTACTCGAAGCGAAACAGCGATCACCTGAAGCGAAGCGGTACAAGCTAATTGAGAGTTTTAAAGTGTTTGTGAAGTGTTTGTGTGTTGAATACAGTTTTTAGTTGTACTTTGGTGAAATTTTATTTATCCCTAAGCCCAGTGCGTAACAATTTGGTCTTAGAAATGGAATAAATAATGCCAGTTTTGCCAAAGGACACGGCGGAAGGTATTCGACCCAGGGGTCAGTGTCAGCAAGAATTGGACCAAAGGCGGTTTATAGGTTCTGCAACGCGGACCGAAGAACAGCAGGGCGCTGATGCGGCAGTGGAATCAACCGCGGGTACATCTAGTGCTTCCCCGGCGGCCATAATGATGCTTTTGCAAGAGCAGGCTCGTCGCCAAGAGAAGCAGGCCCGTCGTCAGGAGGAACAGGCCCGCTGCCAGGAAGAGGGGCTTATTCGCAGGTTGGAGGAGCACACTCGACGACAGGAAGAACAGATGATTCTGATAAAGGATTTGAAAAACACTTTCGGAAAAGACTTGACTGTGATGAAGGAGCAGGTCCAACAGCACGAAGACCTTATTTCTCAACACGAGAGCTGGATTGTTAAAGCTGACATTCTGAGGCTGAGGTGAGGAAGACGCTAGAAGATATAAAAACAGAAACAGTAACTTCAGCCTCGGCTACTGCTGCTCCTTCCACGCGGGGGTTCAAAGTTCCGCCATTCGATGAAACAACCTCGTGGTCGGCCTACAGGATCCAGTTTGAAGCCGTTATGAAGGCAAACGGCTGGAGCAAGTCACAGGCCATGACGGCACTTGCCCTGTAACTCCACGAACAAGCTTTAACCATCCTGGAAGCCCTAGGTAAGGGTGCAACCTATGAACAGCTCGTAGAGGCGATGAAATCCAGATATCGAGACACCTGGAACACAATTTTCGTGCCCAGTTGAAGGAACGAGTGTAGCGCGGCAACGAAAGTATTTAACAGTGAGCTTTTGAGGTGTAGAAATTAGTCCCCAAGGCGTATCGATCTTCACTTGTCTTCATTGATTACATTGATTGATTTGGTACAAGCATTAGTCGACGGTATCCGAGACTTGGAAGTTAGAGCTGCGGTGCGATTGGGTCATCACGAGGCCCTGAAGGATACCTTAGTTCATACCTTGGTGGTAAAGGCCGTAAGGCAGGATCATCAAGCTCATAATGCCAGAGAAGTTGCAGTTTCACCTGCATACGAACGATCCATCCATGCCATCTCCGGTTAAGTTGCCCAGCGACAGGTACAGCGAAAGGTGAACGTCGGGAAGAAAGGGACGACAAGTACCGCCCAGCAACAGCAGAGAAACAAATAAACGCCCGGACTACGGGGTGGATGCTGGTTGGTGATCGAAGAGCCCCCACGGTTTCGATCTCACATGCACGTGACGGGAAAGACAGACGGTCTAGAAAGTTCGACTCCGTTATTGAACACGGCAGTGGAAGATCCCACGGTAACGCGGGCAGACTGTCTAGAAGACGTTGCATTGAGAACAGTAATCACTGCTCTAGAAAGCAGACTAAGGAGGTTGTGCCCGTGCGGACGCTGAGAACGGATCTTAGCGATGCATGGAAGGGAGCCTTGCAGGTAATATAAGGAAATAATGTGGAAATCAAACCAATCCTCTTACCAGTTGTTCTACAGCTGTACCACACAGGATTCTCGGGTGGGCATTTGGGGGTAAAAAGGACGTTTTTGAAATTGCGGGACCGATTTTACTAGATCCATTGCCGAGAGGATGTTGAAGCCTGGTGTCGTAAATGTGCCAGATGTGCTGCAGTTAAAGGTCCTCACACACGTAGCAAAGGTGCGCTGAAATTGTACAACGTTGGAGCTTCGTGGGAAAGAATCGCATTAGACGTCGCCGGCCCGTTCCCGGAAAGTAACAGTGGAAAAAAAGTACTTCATGGTGGTGATGGATTATTTCACCAAGTGGCCAAGTCTTTGCCATTCCGAATCAAGAAGCCTCGACGATCGCCAATGAATTAGTGCATGAAGTATTCTGTCAATTTGGAGTAACCCTAGAAGTACACAGTGACCAAAGAAGGAATTTCGAGTCCGAGGTATTTCAAAAGACTTGCAGAGTCTTAGGTATCCACAAAACTAGGACCACATCTTATCACCCGCAATCCGATGGAATGGTGAAACGTTTTAACCAAACATTGGAGAGATATTTGGCCAAATTTGTGGAGAATAGACAAAGGGATAGAAATATCCAACCGCTCCTTCTATCGTACCGCAGTGCAGTTCACAAAAGTACGACTGTGACGCCGGCGCTCGCAAACTTTTGGAGGGAATTGAGGCTGCCTACGGACTTAATCACTGGCACTCCACCTGACACTCCTTGTAGTGTGACAGAGTACGCAAATGATTTGCGCAGCAAGATGAACGAAGTGCATGAATATGTCAGACAGTCAGGCCAACAAGCCTCTTCGAGGATGAAGACCCGCTACGACAGGAAAGCAAATCATCAGGGATTCGCGGATAGTTCCTTAATGTTGGCTACACAACCCAGTTTGAAGCAAAGGGAAGTCTCCTAAGTTACAGGCAAAATGGGACGGACCGTATAGGATTGTGACTAAAATTAATGACGTCACGTATCGAATTCAGAAAGGTCTGCGAGGTGTGCCTAAAATCAGGTCTGGATTTAGACTTAATGCCGCTCCTGGGCACCGGAAAAAAAATCCGCCCCAATACTGGCATTTTACCTAAACTATATTTACATATTTTATTGTTCAAAATTCAAATAACTAAAATAATTTATTGCAGAAACTTTATCATATGTTATATTATTATACTCCAAAAACATAAATATATAATTTTTTTTCTAAAAATTATAAATTTTGCACTAAGGGTCACCCTTATTCTTCATCATTAAAATAGGTCGGGGAAAAAGTTTCTTCGCGTTTTTTAAGAAAATTCACAACATTTTTTAATATAGTTTATTTATATTTAACTAAAGTATGTAGGTACCATTTTGTTCGATAACTTTTTTCCATCTTGTAGGTAAGGACATGATCCTATTTCTATAGAAATTTTGGGACTTCTGATCAAAATACCGCGACAATTGGTTTTGGCAGTCCTCTCGTGATGTTGACCTGACACTGCCTAAAGAATGTTGAAGAGACCGAAACAGGTGGAAATCTGAAGGTGCAAGGTCAGAACGATACGGCGGATACATTAACACCTCCCAGCCAAGCTCTCTTAATTTTTGCTGAGTGGCTAAAGTTGTGTGAGGTCTAGCATTATCAGGTTGACAGTACGAAAAATAAATAAAAATCACACATTTTCTTAATTTGAATTTGGTATTATCTTCTTTAAAATTTAAACTTTTAATGATACCAAAACCAGCCAGATACAAATAGTATAACCAAAGAGATTTTATTATAATATAAGTTCATACATACTATAATGCGAAACTACTTTTCACCGAACCTAATATTACATAAAAAAAAAACAATTTCTTTAAGTCCAGAAAATGGAAAAATCGATGATTACCACAAAACAGTTACGAGGGCTGCACTAAAAGTATCGGGAATGGAATATTTCCACTGTTCCTGTCATATTAAAATCTTTTTAATTGAAAACTCCTTGGTTTTAAAAATCGAATACCATTTATTTATTTAAAAAAAGATTCTCTATACTTTCCCTAAAATAAAGAATAAATTGCGTGGACAAAGATTTACATCACCTGAAGAAGCTGTGGACGCCTACAAAACGGCCATTTTGGAGACCCCAACTTCCGAATGGAATGGTTGCTTCAATGATTGGTTCCATCGTATGGAAAAATGTGTCAAATTTCGCGGAGAGTACTTCGAAAAGCAATAAATACATTTTTAAATAGTAATGTTGTGTCACTTCGTTAATTCCCGAAAATTTCAGTGCCGCCTATGTAAGTCCGCGCTGGTGGGTACCACCACCCTTCCTATTTCTGCCGTGGAGCAGTAATAGGCTTCGGTTTGAGGGGTGGGGCAGTCGTTGTAACTATATTTGAGACCTTAGATCTTACATCTCAAGGTGGGTGGCGCATTTACATTGTGGATGTCTATGGGCTCCAGTAACCACTCAACACCAGGTGGACTGCGAGCTCGTTCACCCATCTAAGCAAACAAAAAATGACCGTGATTCGTTCAGACTTGCCTAATTTAGTTAGTTCCGACATATACTTAATAAATCATGAAGCATTCGTAATAAAGCTGCATTACAGTTATTAATATATGTTCTTCTGGCCGCGGTTTCGCTTGTAAGTAACTTTCCCAAGATGATTTTTTGCCAAATCTGTTTAACTTCATTACTTTCATAATTTAATTTAAATTTTATAACCTTATAAACGCGGCATTGAGAATATATCTATGTCGCCCACGTCGCAGTAAAGGGGAAAATTTTTTGCAATACAGATCTGTACATCACATTGTACCTACTATTTGTTAGCTTTGAGCGATGCACGAGCGAGTAAGTGCAAGTTATAGGCACTTGAGAGTCATGAACAGCCAGTATCTGTGTCTCTAAAACGTGTTCTTCTTCTTCTTTTTCTCCACCTTATCTCACTAGGTGGGGTCGGCACAGCTAATTTTTCTCTTCCATTCTCTTCTATCAGCCGTCATCTCAACACTCACTCCTCCCTCTCTCATATCGTCATTCACACACTCCATCCATGTCTTCTTTGATCGACCTCTTCTCCCTCTACCACTGCTGCAAGGGCACTACCATTTCCATGCATCTCCTAGTCACATGCATCTTCTCTCTACGCATCACATGTCCATACCACGCTAACCGTCCGCTCTTTAATATGTAGATTACCGCGGCTACTTTCAGACTTCCTCTGATATACTCATTCCTTATCTTATCCATTCTTGTCACTCCACACATCCATCTCAACATTCGCATCTCTGGCGCGTGCACTCCTCGTTCGTGCTTGACTTTCGTCGCGCAACACTCGGATCCATCCAGCAGGACAGCTCTAATGATCGCTTTGTAAATTCTTCCCTTGAGCTCCCTGGCTTCAGAGCGAAATGAAACGCATTCGAGTGTCAGTTAATTTAGCCACTTAATTCCTTATTACATCATTAGTTATGTATATTATACACACATAATATGGTGTTGCATCGGAGGCGTCGAGCGCCCTAGGTACACATATGTATGTAGGCGAGGCGGTTCTTTTTCTGTTTTTGTTCTGTTTATCTGTTCATCGTCAGAGTCATATTTCAACAAAAGATATTCTCTCAAAAGTGGTTTCGTAGGTTAGTATGTATGAATGCTGCAAAACTAGTAGGTACTTACTTCTCGACAATGAGGTTGCACGCATACGCCGCACAATAGCGTGATTAGATGAATTGAAATGTGAAGCTTGCAGCATCCGATTGGGTGCTAACCGGGTCTTTCGCCAAACGAATTTCGTTTATAGGCATTTGGATTTATTTTTACAGGTTAGCAATATGAAAATTAAAAATATACGATATCTGAATTTATTGATTTTAATAATCACATTTTCAACATTCAATTACCACACTTGTTTGACACATTAAAAAAAAACAAATCATTCACTACGTAAACTTAGTTTTTATAAGTTTTACATTTGTATGGAAAGTTAGTCACAGCGCGAGCCGAGGGGGCCGGTCAGCGCGCGCACAGGCGGTGGCGGCACGCGTACAGCAGCAGCGCCGCCGCCCCCAGCAGCACGGCGCCGCCCGCGCAGCCCAGCGCCGCGCCCCGCAGCCGCGCGTACTGCGGCACCGCCAGCCCCGCGCCGCCCCGCGCGCCGCTCGCGCACTCCACGCGCGCCCGGTACCGCGCGCCCTCCTCCACCTCGCGCACTGCACGCAACACGACAAACAACACGCTTAGCGACAACACGAAGGACCCATGCATTCGTCCCGGCGACCTAGCAGCTCACCAGCACACCCGAGTAGACTCGAAGACGGCGTCAAACTCAACGAGTTGATGCTACTCAGTGGACTCACTGCGTACAGATATAATTCTTCCGTGTGCACATGTCGGGGCTAGCGTTGGTACAAGTAGCACATAAGCGCACCACGACTGGCAGCTGGCGGCGGCCGCGACAAGAGCGCTGTCGTGCTCACGTACCAGCGCGCGTAGGTTGACTCACCGAGCGCGTAGTCCTCGTGGGTGCGCAGCGTGGCGAGCAGTCGCGGCGCGCCCTGGTCGAGGTACCAGCGCAGCGTGCAGCCCGTGTCGTCCTCCACGTCGCGCGCCCAGCGGACCAGCGCCCCCTCATCGATCAGTCGCACCGACACCTCCAACTCTTCTCCCTCGAGGGGTACTGTGCCCGAGCTCTCGGTGACGGCCGCCACTGGAGCGTACTCGGACTTTTCGTTGAATTCGGAGCCTACAACGAGGAACGACATCAGTGAGCTACAATCGACGACGTCATTCGTAGGGTTGTTGGTCTAATAGGGGTTCTCACCAAAGGTTCGCACGAAGATCGGTTTGCTGAAGAGCCCGTCTCCGATGAGGTCCTGGGAGAGCACCCGCAGCTCGTACTCGGTGGCGGGGCGCAGTCCGACGAGCGTCGCCTCGGTCAGCCCCCGCGTCAGTATCTTCATGGTGCGCCACTCGCTGACGGTGCGCTCGCGGTACCACACGTTGTAGTCGACGTCGAGACCGTTGTGGCCTGTGACGAACAGATCAGAAACACTACTGTACCCGATGTTCCGCTCTCCTTTACTACTTCAATATTTCCATACACAGAAATATTCCGAGACGTCCAAAAAAAATACCAATTCATAGTTAGATAGGCATAGGCTATCGTTGCCGCCGCTGACTACTCACAGAACCCGGATCACGCAGGAGCCTGTCAACGTCAGATAAATAACCCTTGCATTAGAGGCCTTCAGCTCTAACACTAGGAGCAGACTTAGGGACCCCGGTAACGATACTTGTCGAACTCCGCAAAGAGTTCGACATGCAACCTACCCCCTACGTTGGCCTACTGACTTTCTCGTCGGATCTTCTCAGCGGGTCGCCATTCCACTCCGGTAGTAGATTCATTCGCGAAGCAGCTGCTCTGAGTTTTTAAGTCTCCTTCGGAGGCGCTCGGGTAGCTGTTAGCTAATCCTACTCCTCCTGGCTAGCCCACCTGTCCTGGTGAAACTGGAAAGGCCTCCGGACTACCAGTAATCCCTCATATAATAAATAAATAAGAAGCAACAAAAAAAAGATTATTTAACACTAAAAGTCCGACGGGTGGGGGTTTTGTGAGTTTTTGTGAGTTCGTTGTTCCGTGCTGTTTGCGAAGAAGATATGGAAATGATGTTTACATCGATTTGTATGAGGTTTTAATATAAAAGCGACACAATAACTAAAATAAAATAAAATACAAAATGAGTTGAGAACCGTACAGATAAACTAAGACTGACTATATTTTGGCGGTCGTCGTCGCGCGCGCCGAGGGCTCTGTCTCAGCGGGGGGTAGGGGGCGGCGCGGCGGGGGCGGTATCGCACGTTCGGATATTTGGTTCCGTTATGTTAAAACATAAAACCCTTTGAAGATTCAGAAAGCTTTATATATAATTTTAGATGAACATACGTCCATTAATATATTTGCTTTGCATAGGTACCTATATATAGTCTCCACGTCTCCTCAGAATTCCGTGGACCGCGCACCGTACCAGCATTTCGATCCTGAAAGAGCTCAACATCAAGGTGAGACTATCATCAATAGTCCAAATACGAATCCTCAAGTTCTTCGGGCACATCACTCGTAATGAGGACTCCATTGAGCGGTTGGTAAATTCGAGGGCAAAAGATCTCGCGGACGATCTCCAACACAATGGACCAACCTCATAAAATCTGTGACTCACTCCAACATAAATGATTGCTCTCACTCTGCGAAACACCGTGCCACATGGCGTCGCATCGCGAGAGCATCGGTATCGCAGGATCCGACTGATGCATGACCACGACCACTCTGTCAATAGTGTACGAATAGGAAGGAAGAGGTATATATAGATTTAGTGTTTAGTTTAAGTGTTTTTTTTTTTGCTCTCTTCTTTTTTTTGTTCTATAAGACTTAAGTAATATAAGTGAATGTATGTTTTCGCCATACTTCTATTTTGAGAACTATATACGCCTCCAACGATATATCACTGAGTCTTTTACAAATTCAACATAATTGGTTTGTAAAATGCCGATCGATGGTGGTTGTGAACTTTAAATAAATACATAAATAATTGAGTAGAATCAGTGAGAGCGTCTGAGGGCTGACTGACCGGGCACCCAGGTGAGATGTATGGAGTCGTTGGACGGCGCTGCGGTTAGGTTGTACGGGGCCCGAGGAGGCACGTTCTCGACGAGGAGTTCGGTCTCCACGCTCACGGAGGCGGCCTCGTTGCTGACGGTGCACACGTAGACTCCGCGGTCCTCCTCCGCCACGTCCACCACGGTCAGGTTGCCCTCGTCCACCGAGTGCCGGCCGTCGGGCAGGGAGCTACCGTCTTTCTGTGAACCAAGTATGTTCATCATCAGTACCTACTCCGTTTAGAAAGTAGCTTTACACCACATCCATGTAAATAAAGCGACTGACTCTAGTCCAGCGAAGGAGCGGAGGGTCGTTGTGTTGATAGACCGCCACCTTGCAGGGCAGTGAGAGCGTGGCCCCGAGGCGCGCCACGTAGAGGGGCAGAGGGCGTGCGGCAAACGCCGGCGGTCGTTGCACGCGCACCCTCACGCCCGCGGACGGGCCCTCCGTGCCCAGCGCGTTGTACGGAGTGCACGAGTACACGCCCTCGTGGGTCTCGTCCACCTGCAGCGACCGCAACACAACGTCAAACAGACCAGCAGACTCGTGCCAGCAGGACAGATCGTGCTCAATTCCCGACAAACACTCACTTGGTTGAAGAGCAGACTACCATTCCTGCTGTAGAACACACCTTGGACGTTATAGGGATCGAACAGAAATCCATCTTTTTCCCAGCGCAAGTTCGTCAAAGGAGGGTTGGCACTGAAGTGGCAGTCGAGACTGGCCGGCTTGCCGAACGGGAAATGCCGTTCCTTCGGTGAGTACACTACTTTGGCTTTGTCTAAACAAAAGAAGAATTCGAAATGAAGACAATGCAGAAATGTGTGCGAAATATGTTTGAATACTCACAGTGGACATCGAGGAAGGCGCTGGCGCTTTGGATGTGACCGTCGGGAGAGCTCACACGACACTCGTACTCGCCAGGATCGGAGCTGGTCGTGACGCGCACCACGAGACTGCCGTTAGCAGCAACCTCGGACCGCGCCGCGAGCTCCGGCAGCTGGTTCAGCAGGGCACCCTGCCTGTACCACTCGACCGCCGACTGCGGGTCTTTGGGTAGGCACTCGAGCTCGGCGCGCTCGGTCTCCAGCACCGTGACGTTCATGGGCGGCGTGACTATCAGGTTCCCACCTGACGAGCGGAGCGGACTCAGTCGAGGCGCGGTGCTTGAGGCGAGGGGGCGCTGGCGGCGCGATCGACTCACCGTCCACCTCGAGGCGGTAGTAGGTCCCGTTGTTGCGCGCGGGCGGGGTGCGGTTGGGGAAGAGGACGAGACAGCGGTAGAGGCCGGCGTCGGTCTCGCGCACGGCCGTCACGTTGATGGAGCCGCGCCCGAGGCCGAGCACCTCCCCGTCCACGCGACGCACGCGCCCGCCCCACCGGTCCGCAGTCTGCGCGCGACCCTCCGTGCTGTACCACGAGAATATCGTCTCTCCCTGAACAAAACGTGGATACGTTGTAGGCACACTGATCAATTCGACAGATTACTTACCAGTTTTTCAATATATTAACACCTTTATTTACAATTTAACTGATCAGTAACAAGAATTGTCCAATAGTTACAAATTTCTTTTTTCTCAAGTTAATCGGATGCCGTAAAGTTAGTGATAATTAGGTTGCATAGATAATGGTGAAACTAATAAAAGCATATTGAAAATATGGTCCATTCCGTCGAGCGCTCGGCAGCGACAAGTCTGCTCCGCTGCGTGCGACTAGGACACAGGCGCGCCACCGCGAACGGGGCTCCGCCGCGACCCATCATCCGATTAATCTTATTTATCTTATTTTCTGCCCTTGCGGGCCACATTGTCCACCTGACGGTAAGCGGTACTAGAGTGGTAGCTGATGGGCGTAGCACCATTCCACGCGTCATTCGACCGTATAAGACGCGTGGCTGATCTGTGATACGGCCTATATTTCACCTCATTATGATAAAAGAGTTTGACCTGTCGGAATGGTTTCTCCGAAAGCTTGACTTGACAAAGCTATCTCTGTCGTAAGCTACACCACGTGCTAGTAACTGGTATACCTACTGAAGTTAAAGAGATTAATTCAAACATAGATTTAAGAAAAAAAAGTACTATTAAATATATCACCATCGAAATAATAATCAACTAGGATGTTTTGTGCACATTTTTTGTCTCCAAGTTATAATTAAAACCTGAAGGAGGCATCAGCATCAGTCCTCAGTACTCCGATGAACGGCAGGTTTTAATCTCAAACAACGCTCCTGTAAAGCGCCTTATTAGTCTAGTGAACAAGTTCAAAAACGTGTTAAATAGACATAAAGCTCCTAAAAATATGTACGATAGCTCATTGGATGCGGAATGTCTACAAAAATGTTTTTTAAGGGCTTATTAGCACATAAAAAATTGCGATTGTTATAAACAAAATAAGATTTTAAAAAAAAGGAATTTGGTTTTTCCTTAATAATTTCTAAAATAATGATATTTAAGGAATTTTGAAAAAAGATCCTGAAAGAGGAGGAAATTTCCAATAAAAAAATCCCAACTCCCGGAATTCTATCTCTATTATTTATAAAAAAAAAATAACGCTGAAAATAGCGCTCCGCGAGGTCGTTACGGCATAGGCGCGCCGTCTAAAAAGCCGGTATATCACCTAAAATAATTTTTTTATAGTATTAAATAACAATTTAAAAATTTGAATAAATTATGGTGTAATCTAAACACTTGAACGAAAAAAACCTCGGTGAAAAAAAAATTTATATCGATTTTTCAAAAATTTACACCATTGTTAATTAACTAACTTTTTTCCAATCTCTGTTTTTATAAATTACGGTATAAAAGTTTCAATAATTCATCTATAATTTTTTCCCTTCGTGGAGCTCTTATCATTTAAGTACTTAATAAAGAAATGCACAAAAAAATTTTTAATCTTTATTATTTTGATAATTATATTTTTTTTAAATTAACAAAAAATTAAATTTCTAAAAAATGTTATGAAAAATAGTTTTTTTCCGTAATATCTTAATATTGCTGTTTTTTGCATCTACCATAGGTATTAATTAACATTTAAAAAAATAAATTACGCTATTTGTTAACAAATTGTTTATAAACAAATAAAGTATTTTGGGATTTTTTTGAAAAAAAATTTTACCGTCTTATTGTATAGGTGAAATAATGATTTTTTTTAAAAAAAATTTTTCTTAAATAAATGTTTTAATTGTTTAAAATCGTTTTTTTCATATTTCAATTGTTTAAATAATTAGTTAAGAAATTATTTTTTTCTTAAAAATCATCATTGACTCTTCTCAGCGGATTGACAAACAAATACATTTTTTTATAAATAATTTCATTGTTTATTAACTTAACAATTTGTTATACAAAATTAATATTTATCGTTATATTTTTTTTCGAAAATTACAAAAAATTACAAAAACAACCATACATAACAAAATATAGAAAAAAAAATTTGTATTTTTTATAGCATTTTTAGATATTATATGATAATGAAATTACAGCCGTTACATAATTTGTCAAGCTATAAATTGTTATAACTTTTAAACTATAAGAGATACGGTAAAGGACTCTCAGGTCATTTTTATAAAGGATTTATTTATCTTTAAAATAAATTCAAAATCGATCCTGTAACTATTGTTTATCAGTTATAAGCATTTGTTTATAAAAATTTAAGATTTTTTTGATATTTTTTGAAATTTCATAGCTTATAATTTGATGAATAATATAGATACAGCTACGGACCCAAAAACTTTTTTGTTCTATGATAAAATATCTTNATTTTTTGAAATTTCATAGCTTATAATTTGATGAATAATATAGATACAGCTACGGACCCAAAAACTTTTTTGTTCTATGATAAAATATCTTTCTAATTACGTATAAATCATAGAAATATATAATTTTGTTTAAATAATACACTAGTTTTAATTTATACTTACCTCATTTACATTCTGCTATCGATCAGTTTTCATTTATTTTGTAGAAGTACCACTGTAGAAGTAGTTGTAGTATTTGTTCTACTTCTAACTGTATTAGGTAGGCGCTGACACGAAGGATGGTTTACACAGTGAGTATTAATATGTACTGCTTTGAATAGTTTATTGAAGATAGCAATATTCACAAACAAACTATGACAGGAGTGGCACGATAAAGAAATAACATATAGGAGTAGTAAAGCACTGACACGAACGATAGGTAGCACAGCGAATGTCGATGTGTACTGCCCGCAGTTTCTTAAGATTTCGAAGTGTTGAACAACAATAATAGATGATTGCCTGAATTCATAGGCGACAGCGATTTTGTCGAATTGTAAGGCGGTTGCCCAAGTAGTGGCGAATAAGTGAATCGCCACATCACTCCCCCGGCGAGANTGGAGTACTGCTCCCATCTCTGGGCCGGGGCTCCCAAATACCAGCTTCTTCCATACAGAGGAGGGCCGTTCGAATCGTCGATAATCCCATTCTCGCGGATCGTTTTGAACCTTTGGGTCTGCGGAGGGACTTCGGTTCCCTCTGTATTTTGTACCGAATGTTCCATGGGGAGTGCTCTGAGGAATTGTTCGAGATGATACCGGCATCTCGTTTTTACCATCGCACCGCCCGCCACCGGAGTAGAGTTCATCCATACTACCTGGAGCCACTGCGGTCATCCACAGTGCGTTTCCAGAGATCTTTTTTGCCACGTACCATCCGGCTATGGAATGAGCTCCCCTCCACGGTGTTTCCCGAGCGCTATGACATGTCCTTCTTTAAAAGAGGCTTGTGGAGAGTATTAAGCGGTAGGCAGTGGCTTGGCTCTGCCCCTGGCATTGCTGAAGTCCATGGGGACGATAACCACTCACCATCAGGTGGGCCGTATGCTCATCTGCCTACAAGGGCAATAAAAAAAATAAAAAAAAACACGAGTAGTAGATCATAGATTATACACTAAGTAGTAGATAGTAGACATGTGTAAGCAATGCGAGTGATATTACTCCGGTAATATTACTCTACGATGTAATGCAACATCACACATTACGCGAAGGAAACAAACATCACACTATCACCCAACATGTTTCTTTCTTTGTCGTGTAATGTTGCTTAATACACGAACGGAACCGAGCGAGTGAGACAGACCGATCTACGCAAAATAAATGAGCAAGCGACACGGAATTATTCCTAGTGATTTTGAATCGTATGCCCTGGCCGCTAGGTACATTTTTATACCTATGGTACGTCTGAATTTTAATATTTAACAAGTATTTGTGTTTATATTTTTCATGCGGCCAGCCGGTAGTTCCCCACAAGTAGTTACTTAATTTTTTATTCGCAACTTTTGTAAAATCGCTAGTCGCTCGTAATTGTTTAGTAATATTTCATATTAATTTTTGTGTTTGAATTACTTAAGCACTTGTTTGAAGATAGTTGTATTATTTGTTTTAATGCGTGTTTAATAAATGAAAGAAAGAATGGCGTCTACTGCTCTCGTATATTAACATTATCGTCGAGCTCAATTTGCAGTCTAAGTCGCCATATGAAATCCGTTCATCCCACAATAAATTATATTAAGTAAAAAATAAAATTATTATATTATTAAGTAAGTCAATCTCTGTCAAGTAATATAACTTATATAACAGTGTATTACAATACAAAGTACGAACACATCACTTAAGTGATGATTCGGGTGTATAGATACAATGTATTCGTCACAGTATCTATTGAACACACCGAGTAATGTTAAGAGTGATGTGTAATGTTTTCGAGTAATATCACCTGTCTGTAAAAGTGATGTCATATCACATTACATTGGGAAATGATGTTTTGCGCAAGTCTAGTAGATAGCCGTGTCATCGGCCAAGAGCGCCAGATGGGTTTCTGGAGACCGGGTATATTGTTGATATACACAGTACCAACTGAACAGTAACAGCCTGGCCACGGGACATTCGCCGATACGAATATTCGCGCGGTGCGAACGGCGAAGCGTCTAGCGACTAAAATAAGCGCATAGAAATGTACCGAACAAGCCACGCGCACCGGCGACCGGCGAAATGTACCGAGCGAATCGCGCGATGCGGCGGGCGAGCAAAACAAATGCATGAATACGGACGGTGCGAGCCACGGAGTCGAGCGGTAGTCGCGGCGAATAGTACAGTGATTAAATGAGTTTAGTTGTTTTCGCCGCGAAAAATTAACGCCGAAATTTTTATATTTTTTATTAATTTTTTATTTTATATTTTTAAAGTCGTCGTGGCCTAACGGACGTCCGGTGCAATCGTGTTGAGCGATGCACCGGTGTTCGAATATCAGGCGGGTACCAATTTTTGTAATGAAATACGTACTCAACAACACTCAACGTTCACGATTGATTTCCACGGTGAAGGAATAACATCGTGTGATAAAAATGAAATCTTCAAAATAATAATTTGCGTAATTACTGGTGGTAGGACCTCTTGTGAGTCTACACGGGTGGGTACTACCACCCTGCCTATTTCTGCCGTGAAGTAGTAATGCGTTTCGGTTTGAAGGGTGAGGCAGCCATTATAACTATACTTGAGACCTTAGAACTTATATCTCAAGGTGGGTGGCGCATTTACGTTGTGGATGTCTATGGGCTCCAGTAACCACTTAACACAAGGCGGGCTGTGAGCTCGTCCACCCATCTAAGCAATAAAAAAAAATTTTGCTGAAATACTAGCTAGACCAGCTATTTGGAAGTCTAGCCACCCAAAGTATTTCTCGTACTTCTTGTGGAATTCTCCATCTATAGGTATACTCCGATTCTTATTCAAATCATGTACTTCACAATCTTTTCCAAATAATAGGTCCTGAACAAAAAAACTATTAATTTGTAAGCAATATCGAGATAATTTCGATATAGACATTTCGCTGTCGGACTTCCTTACTAGTCGCGGCGGCGAACGTGAGTACCCGTGGCCTGCAAAATGTGCTGCGCGAATGGTCGCCTCGTCCACCGCTTCGGTGTTCGCACCGCCGATCCCCGTGGCCAGGCCGTAACGGTGAGAGGGCGAAGCCTTGCGGGACTCCGGCTGTAGCGGGATGGGGACGAGAACGCGTTCCCTCTACTCGATATCGGAACGATATGAAAAAACAAGAGAAATACGAGAACGTCTATCAACTGTGTAACATCTCGTCACCGCGATTCAAGAATTGTTAAAGTCACGTGCGGCGACATCTGTTGATAACAAACTAAATAGAAGTAACAGTATCTCAGGGCGCTCCGAGAGCCACGACAGCGTGCATGGACGTCAAAAACACACTGAACTAGTCGGGGACGCGAGACCGTGTGGAGCGCTTCGTGATTTGTCGGCGCCGCTCGGAGCCGCTTCGGCAAGCCAATCGCGGCACTTATTTTTTCGTTTCGTTTCATTTCGTTTCCTCGAGTTTGAAATCACAACTATTCTAAAGAAGTTTCACTTCAAAAAAAAAGTCCTGCGTGGGAGCCAAAACCGAAGAGGCTCGCGGACGTGGATGCTTGGGCGAAGAGTGCAGGGGAGTCGTTTAGTGGGTAGGCCCCTGAAAACATCCTTGGGCCCGCGGTCTCGCAGTCCCACATACACCGCGCGCGCCCTAGGCGCGGGGACCTCGTAGGAGGTTCGGCACCCGGACCGAAAAAAGAAACGAGTGAGTCGCCGTATCAGACGGAACGCTCCGAGTTAACGTTTCTGGATTATTGATTTACTAAGACCATCCGCTTATCATGTTGCTACTCCAAAATGGAAATACTCCAACATTTATATTTATGATTTTCGCTTATGGCACAAATTCTCTTCATCACGAATGATACTCGTTGCAGGTTACTCACAGGACAAAGCGTTAAGGTACAATGAAACAAGTGTAGTTTCTATAACACGATCATATATTTTCACACACTGTACTCTTGTGGATATAACAACAGAACGTATCCTTACACTATACGGCAGCCGGTAAGTGCGACCTCAATGTTCTAGTTAATTAGCTTTTTGAAAGTATTCTTTACTGTCCTTGGGGTTCGGCTTGATGGTGTCGGCGTTGGTGTCCGGGTTCCAGCCGGCCGGGCACACTGCGCATCAAAAATACATATGTATAAATAGCTTATTTGTTAAATCTGTGACTGGCTCCTGCGTGATCAGGATTCGGGGAGTAGTCAGCGGTGGCAACAATAAGCCGATTATCATGACGCATAGCCTTATCGAAGTACCGTTCCGACGCTGACTCCATTTATTTCCGGATTGAGTCGAGGCCCAGTCGTCGTATAGGTCAACGTCCCTCACGAACCACGGAGCTCCGAGGCTAGCCCACAAGAGCGGGACTGTAGGGATTGGAGGGTGTCTATGTGTGTGCGTGAACAGCACACTCGGATAAGTCATGACGGGCCTTATGCAGGTTTTGTAAGGTGTAGGTTTCATGGGCGAGGCAGCCTTTGTGCTGTAAAAACCGATTTGATGATGATTTGGGCAATTTGGGCTGCGGCTACCACTTAACGCTGGGTCGGCAGTGAGCTCGTCCGACCATTCCAGCACCCGCTGTGAGACATGAGACGGTTCCAACATTTCAGTCGGAGAGAATGTCAACTTCGAAAAAGAAAAAAAGAATTTACATTGTAGGATCTGTAGAATCCTCGTAGAAGTAATTCATAAACAGGGGTCAAGTACTTATAATAACAGAAAAATTGGTGCCTGTTTGACAGCCTGCGTGACTTTAACCCTCCTGCATAGGAATACTTCGTAATATTCATTATTTGTTTCGATTTTCGTTTTTAGACCATTTTAATAGCAGAATAACTTATCCTAAAATTGTCCCACAAATGTTTATAATTAGAGAGTAGCGTAGATAAATTCTAGATTCGGAGATGGCGGGTGAGGCCGAAAGCGTTAGAGCAGGACAGCATACCCTCTCCGTGCTTGTCGGCGAACTGGAAGGCCTTGACCAGGCGGAGCGTCTCGTCCACGGAGCGGCCCACGGGCAGATCGTTCACCGACATGTGACGCAGGGTGCCATTACGGTCGATTATGAACAAACCTGACATTGAAAATGGACAATAATAAAAGTTAATGTCATCACAACACAAGGATACTGTTCGGTTCAACTAAATGTTGAAAGGCTTTGTGTTAATAGCTTCATAACATAAGTGACATAGTGCACACCTCTTAATGCAAACCCATCATCAAGTAATACATCATAATCTTTTGAAATCTGTTTTTTGTAATCAGCAAGCAGAGGAATTTCCATTTTTCCCAATCCACCGTCCTGCAAAAAAATTGTTTTTTTAATGACAAATCACAGCATGTGCCTGGTTTACAAAGATGAATACTTAGCTCTTGTACAAACCTTCCTAGGAGTGTTGATCCATGCGAGATGACTGAACTCAGAGTCTGTGGACACTCCAATCACCTGACAATCGATTCCAGCAAAGTCTTTAGCTTTATCACTGAACGCTATGAGCTCTGTCGGACATACAAATGTGCTGTAACATACAAATTTATTAAACATAAGCTTCATTAATTATTTATTAACTTAATGGGTGGTATTGATGAAAGGAGTATGTATATAATATACCTACCATGACAATAAATGTCACAGGTTAATATATTTTTAAGCAACAGCTCTACTTTATGCTACTGCTTATTTCATCACCTTGAAAAGTGATGCCAATTACAATTAATTATTAAATGAATAACTAGTGATAGTTAAAGATATACATTTGAACTATTCACCCTCTGGTGAGCATATGCAGAAAATGGCAAAAACTGCTATATAAAGAAAAAAGAACTTAGAATGAAACATACAAATCCAATGGATAGAAGAACAGAACTACGTATTTTCCCGTGAAATCTGAAAGTTTAAGTTGATTGAACTCTCCATTGACAACTGCTGTCGCACTGAAGTCTGGAGCAGGCTTCTGAACTTTAGGAGCTCTTGTAGTGCTGGCTGTAATGAATAAATTGTGTTAATAGTTTAATTATGTCCATCTAGACATACCATACAAACTGGCACAAAACTGTTTCATGAGTGTCAGAGATAAATTGAGTAGAGTACACTACACCTTTGGACAGAATAAAAATGTAGACTGAATTAGTACACCTTTAGTTAACTAATAAACTTGCAGCGGTGGCTATCATAGTATAGGAAAAATTCGGCAAATGGCGTTTTCAAAATTAAGTTACTTAATCTTAAAAGTTTCGAACAAAAGTCTGAAGTTTGATCTAACAAAGACATTTGCTTGGTAGAAAATCTTCTCTTTGTCGTTTCCGATAAATATTTGAAAATTGTGTCAAATTCACAGTCTACTTAAAAATACGCGTATATGTAGTAAAATAAAGGATAAAAAGACAGTTAACTACAACTTAAAATTTGTAGGTTATGTAATACTTTGAAAGGCCTATGCTAAGTAGGTATAAATAAAAATTATTAGACTTAAACATAAAGAAACTTACTCGTAGAAAAATTAATCCTTTTTGCTACTTTGAAAGCCGGCGACAGTACCTGAAAATTATACATTAATGTTTGTAATTATGTAGTAGGCTGTCTGCATCTGATTTGTGATAAATTAGTTTACTAACACTTCGACTTAGTTGCTTCACAATGAACGACATTTTTGCGTGCGTGAGTAAAGATTTAGGATTATATTTAAACCCTAAACAATCAACTCATTAAATAGACCTAGTCACAACTTGACAGTCTTGACAAAATCACATTTTTTTTTGTTGAGGGATTTTATGACTTGGTAACTGAGACCCTTAAGTCATGTCTTATAGGCTGTTTTCCAATTACAGCACAAGAGCGCATTATGCGGCATAATGCGCATAATGGTTAATTATGCGGCATAATTAACCATTACTTAATGGTAGTTTTCCAATTACAGAGCATAATGCGACTCAGTGACGCACAATGCCGAATTATGCTGAAGCTTAGTTGAGCATTATGCCGCATAATGCGCTCTTGTGCTGTAATTGGAAAACGGCCATATTAATTTATATTCTAATTTTTATGAAAAAGATAATATGGAGTGAAATGAAATGAAGATGATAAGAGATGATAGGTATGCGATGAAATATAATCGCAGTAAAATGGTGGTCATTTACTGAAATTTTTTCAGTGGGCTTTTTGGAGGATCCCAAGTAGTTACGTCCAGCGACTTTGTTTCAATTTCCCACATTTGTGCACTTTCACAGATATTAAATAGTTAATAAACCACCGTTATTATACATTTAAACTTGAAGAAACACTAAATAGACAAAATGAAACAAATCACACAAATTCACTCCTCGCGTTCCCACCAAAAGGTCGACAGATCAGTAGATTTTATGTTTAACAATCAGTACTTTTTCTTTTAACTTTACCGACATGATAAATTATTATTTGTCTGCGTAGAAGGGTGCAAGAACTTACGAACCACCCGAGTGTTGAGTGGTTCCCAGAAGCTATAGATATGGTAGTCTTTTTTTTTTCCTACCAAAGCGTATAGTCTAGAAAGACCATAACAGCGTAACTTTAACTCGTAGGTGAGCTCACGAGGCTCAAACCTGACGATGTTGCTAACACGAATCGTAGCAAGAACCGTGCTTCGCAGAATCTACCACCGGATCGGAAACAGGACCCCCTGAGAAGATTCAGCGAGGAACTCAGTGGGCTACGTCTGTGGGTTAATTTACTCTCCGAGCCCATCGTCGCAAGCGACGGGTTCGACGAGAACGATGACCGGATGGTAATGTGAATGTCACTAATCACCTTGATAATCGTATCGATCAACTGCTGAGCGGGAGAAACAGATACTCTGATGGTACCTATCGCGCGGCCTTATACTTATAAGGGCTGCTAACTGTCTATAGTGTGCGCGGAAGCGCTAGTCACCGCCTGAGGTATGTGAGCGGCAGGGCGGGCGAGGTAGAAAAACGTCAATCTAACTCAGTCTGCCGCCAGATATAGTTGTTCTTGCCAGTTTGTTCCAAACATTCACGAGATAAAATATCCTAAGATGGGTCCACCAATTACACGACCAGTGTAAAATGTAAATTACAACGTGCACAGTTTTTTTTCTCAGACCGTAATGAGAATTGTAGCTGAAGGAATTTCGAATCGGAAAAACCAAGATTTACTTCTCCACGAAAACCTAAAGAAATAAAAAAGATTGTTGATAAAAAATAAAAACAGATAAATAAATATATTTTTTAATAATGTACTATAACAGTGATATGGTTTTTGAATATGAATTTTTTGTTTAATCAAGAAATAGAAAAATACAATATTACAATTAGGTACCCATTACATTAATTCTAACATGTTATTCTGAGATTTATCTGCACTTAAATAATAATATAATATCGTGTCGTCATCATCATCAGCCTTTATCTGCCCACAGCTGGACATAGGCCTTTCCTTCCTTTCCAATATCGTGTGCGTCTTGTCAATCACGCCCTCCTTCGTCTACCCCGCCACATACCTCAGGTGACTCCGCGCGCACTACAGTACTGTTACTGCCAGTAATTACGTTTTATATAGTAAAATTTTCTCGTTTAAATTTCATAGCTCGATTTAATAACATTTTTGCATTTGCGTAATTAATGAATTTAAAATCGCAAGCTTCATCTCATTTCCACTAACTTCACATCCATAAATATAAACTCTTCTAATCCAAAACGCTCGTTCCATTTACTCACTAATGTTATAATGAAAACCACGGAATAGATAAATAAGGTTGGAAAGGCCTTTGCTCTAATTTTGTATTAGAACCAGTATCGCCGCTTCATCCCCACTATTTTAATTTCTACACATACGCAGACTATGATTACAAATATTTCGCACACAACAAAAGACCCACACATAAATCTCATGGCAGATATTCATTCGCAACTAGCACAAAACTCCCGTAGGCATACACACTCACACACGCAAAAAGGCAACTAAATGTTCATACACGCTAGTGCTTGATAAAACCGATATTCTTTATCGATAAATTATTTGATGAATGAATGGGGAAAAATGAAACATGAAATAAATATTGAAAAAAAAAACTATTTTACTTTTATTAATTACAAATAATCACTGTCCCTGGAATAAAACGTAATTGTTAAGCAGTTGGCGCTAGCTATTAATTGCGATGGAATTTTTCAAAACAAAGTGTAGCCTGATTTTTTTTATGTTAAAATCATTTTCAGTAAAATGTTTAGAGCAAATAGTACTCGTCTTTGTCTCCAGTTTCCTCTACCTGTCACGTCAATCCATTGTTCCCTGGCGTTAGGTTCTTTAGGAAACCTAAAATTTATAATTTATTGCATAAGTCAAATAGCATTTTACTTAGATTTTAAAACGTCTAGACAATATAGTAAATACCCGTAAATGAGAGGTCTACATGTCCCTTTATATTAGACCTTCACATAAATTCAATGATAATAATTCAGTAATAATAATACAAATTTATTTTACTCAAAATACGTCTCACTAAGAATATACTAGGTATCATTAATTAAATATAAAATAATACAAAAATATCTATGTCAAATGTAAATATAGTCGAGAATTCTGCCGATGATTTTATTTCACCACATGGTCACCTCACTATCGACCAACTAGCGCCGTGCACCACGGCCAATCAGGCAAAGGCCGAAATTTCAAATATTGAAGTGTAGAGAACGCAATGCATGTAGTACATTGGAAGCGGACTTGGTCATTGCGTTCATTGGGCGAGTACACATCGCGCAATGTATGTTATTTATAACTTGTTGCAATAATGTTGTTAATGTTTGGAATTTCATAATGCTCAGTATATTTTTATGTTTTAGACAAATAATATTGTAATTAAATGGTAATTTCGACTTACGGATCGAAAGATATACCTCCTCGCTCTATACTTGAGGTCTGACTTTTTGTTTTACAAGTTATAATTGCACAACACGGCATTATAAAGCGGAGATCTGTTCGTCCAAGTAGTCCGAAGCGCACTAAACGCGGTGAATGAAAGAATCGGTCGAGTTATGATTGTAGAATCATAGCTGTGGCACGCTTGCCCCGCCTACATTACCATTCCAACCTTATTTATCTATTCCGTGATGAAAACTACTTCTACGGCTTAATCTCGTGTTATATTATATGAATTATATCTATCGACGTCTCACATTGTGGAGTCCAGTCGAGTGCCCAGAGCCACGTGACCTCTCGCAGGACACGATCGAGCTAATTAATATATTATCATTATCTAGTCGTCGGTCAGCGCCACACTCCAGCTTCAATGGAAGAATAATGATTAGTTTCGTTCCGAAAATGAAACAATTTGTATAATCAAAAAATATGGTATATATAAACATAGCACAATAATTCGTACAAATAATCAGTCACCCATTAAACTTATGTTACTTATTTACATTAAAATATTAAAATATATAGATAATTCGTTGTTTATTTGTTAATATGAATGGTGTAAAGATGAAACAGTAAAGTACACGAGCAGCATGGGCGGGCGCGCCTCGCGCGGCGGCTGCGTGCAGTGCAGCGCCAGCTCCAGCAGCGCGCGGCACAGCGCGGGGTGCGGCGCGGGCGCGGCTCGTGCAGCCGGTGCGGCTAGCAGGCGGCGAGCGCGTGCAGGCGGCGGTACACGAGCAGCATGGGCGGGCGCGCCTCGCGCGGCGGCTGCGTGCAGTGCAGCGCCAGCTCCAGCAGCGCGCGGCACAGCGCGGGGTGCGGCGGCAGGCGCGGGTCGTGCAGCGCGCCCAGGTCGTGCCGCGCGGCGTGCCACGCGTGCAGCTGGTGCGCCAGCAGGGGCCGCGCGCGGGAGCGGTCCCAGGCCGGCAGCCCCGTGCTGGTCTCGGCCACCACCACGCCGAAGCTGTACACGTCGACGGCCGGCGACAGCACGCACGACTGCAGGTACTCGTCCGGCAAGTAGGGCCTCGTCCCGTACACTCTACACGATGCGGTTACATCGGGTCAACAACGGCATGTCACAATGATGGGGCGATCGTCATTATGCAGAAGGCTAAATATTTTTTTGAATTTTATTAATAAAAAGTTGCAGTAAGATATCTTTGCGTGTACTGCATTGTATCTGGACGGCATATTAATAAGCGACTGAGATTTTTTAAAAATTAGAAAGAAAGAATACATTGAGCATCAACAATGACCGTCAAGTAGGTATACCCCCCCCCCCATCCCCCGTGTGCGCAGCCGCGGGGGACGCGCGGGCGCGGGGGCGGGGGCGGCGCAACGCGCGTCGCAGTGCAAGCGATCACGATAAGAGATGAAACGGATAGTGGTTTGGCCGGATACCGAATACCGAATATTCGGCAAGCTGCGAGGCCGCAGTGCCGGATATTCGGCCCTTTCGGAAATATTCGTGCGAGTTCGGGTGTTGTCGCACGTGAGCGGAGATCGCGACGACTCGGGGGCGTTCAAGTGTTCGCGCGTGTCAGTTTGTTTTTGTTCATGCGTGTCGTTGTGGTTTTGAATGAAAGAAGATGAAACTGGATCTAACTTCACACGTGAAGCTCATGACACTTTCTGGGACTGTTTCAATGAAGTGGCAAAGGATAATAGTAGTGATTTTCGCGATCAAGAAAAACAAATACCAATTCCTTCTTTACCGGATATCGGTTAATCTCTAATCACGATGCGCATGCGTCACGCCCCCGAGTGCTAAGTTAGTGACAGTTAAGATTAAACAAGTCATGAACGCGGAGTGAGGCTGCAAGCACTGACCGTGAGACCTTCAGATGCGTCCGTTCGTCTCCGTAGGGCCCCTTCCGCGCGAGGCCGAAGTCTCCGATCTTGGGCTCGAGGCACTGGTCCAGCAAGATGTTAGCCGGCTTGATGTCCCCGTGGATGAGCGCGCTGCCGGTCATCGTGTGCAGGAACTGCAGCCCTCTGCGAACAGTCTGTCACTCAGAAGGCGCTCCCATCTCTCGATCAGATGATATGTCCGCTCATACCTGGCCACCCCGCACATGATCCTGCAGCGCTGCGCCCAGGAGAGCGGCGCGGCGCCGTCCTTGGGCCGCAGCCGCTGCTCCAGCGAGCCGCCCGCCATCAGCTGGTACACCAGGCACGCCTCGGGCCCTGCGCACGGCACACTCGTCAGCTCGTTGGCGGCCCCGCGCGGCGGCGCGCGCTCACCTACCTCCCAGGCTGTATCCGTAGAGGGGCAGGATGTTGTCGTGGCGGTACTGGTTGAGGCACATCTCCCGCACGAGCTCTTGGTCGCGGCCCTCATTGTCGCGCAGCCTCTTCACCGCCACGCCCAGCAGCTTCCACTCCCCTGCGGGCACGCCGAGGGTCATGAGCGTCAGGGGTGGGGGGGCGGCGGCGGGGGCGGGGGGCGCGGCACGTACCCTTGTAGACCTGTCCGAAGCCGCCGCGGCCGAGCAGGTTGCGCTCGCTCCAGTCGTCCGTGGCGAGCCGCAGCTCCTCGTAGCTCATCTTCGGGATGGCGGACACCTTGCGCAGGATCTCATCGTACTTGTCGTACTGCGCGGACGAGGTGTCCTGGCGTCACACAACGAGACCATTATTCCTTGCGTCACTGACGACATGTGACTCACGATTGTACTAAATCTAAATGCCCGGTGTGTGTATGGATGTGTGTGCATATGTGTGTGCGCGTGTGTGTGTGTGTTCGTGTGAGTGAGAGTCATTATATTATAGTGTGCGTGGAAGCGCTAGCCCCGCCTGAGGTATGTGAGCGGCAGGGCGGGGGAGGTAGACAAACGTCAAGCTAACTCAGTCTGCCGCCCGTCGACTCGACCACCGCGCCGGTTACACAATTCAGTTGTTCAGTTTGCTCCAAACATACACGAGATAAAATATCCTAAGATGGGTAAAATGTAATTTACAATGTGCAGTTTTTTTTCTCAGACCGTAATGAGAATTGTAGCTGAAGGAATTTCGAATCGGAAAAACCAAAATTTACTTCTCCACGAAATCCTAATGAAATAAAAAAGATTGTTGATAAAAAATAAAAACAGATAAATAATTAATTTTTTTTATAATGTACTATAACAGTGATAGCGTTTTTTTTTATTATTTTCTTATTAACAAATGTTAATTTGCTTATAAAATTGTTTTGTATCGTAAATTATAAAATTTAATAAACACTTTTGAATATGAATTTTTTGTTTAACCAAGAAATAGAAAAATACAATATTACAATTAGGTACCCATTACATTAATTCTAACATGTTATTCTGAGATTTATCTGCACTTAAATATAATATCGTGTGCGTCTTGTCAATCACGCCCTCCCCCGTCTTACCCCGCCACATACCTCAGGAGGTGACTAGCGCTTCCGCGCGCACTATATACAAAGACGAGATGTGTGTGTTTCAAGTGCAATAAGAATACAATAAATTTGGAGACGGAAAATCGTGGGCCAAAAATGTAATAACTTGAAATGTAGTCTAAAAAAATTGTCATATTTTTTTGTATCTAATATATAAAATTCTCGTGTCACAATGTTCGTTCCCATACTCCTCCGAAACCGCTTGACCGATTCTCATGAAATTCTTTATGCATATTCAGTAAGCCTGAGAATCGGCTACTATCTATTTTTCATACCCCTAAGTGATTAGGGTTGTCCACCCCTAACATATTTTTTTTTATTTGGACAATTTTTTTTTTGTTATAATGAGGTATTATGTGGTTGAATGAGGTTTTGTTATTTTTATTATATATTCCCTCATCGTTCACAGCACTACATACCTCTTTCACTCATTTACCACATCCTTATACACTTACAATAAGTTAGTTTTTTTTTCTACACTAGAAATTCCCTAGAAATCTTATATAGTATGGCAAAACAATGTTTGCCGGGTCAGCTAGTAAGAATATAAAAAATCACCTCAATCCTTTTACTGGGACCGGAGAAAAATGAGAAAATTGGTTTTTCTCGGTTTAGCGGTGTGATCTATTTAATTAATCGATTACAGGATTATAAAAAGAAAAACATTACATTAAGTAATGAATGCAAATTAATTAAATGAGCGATTTATACTTGTTGTATACAAGTGCGGTATACGGCGAATTTAATTGCGATTATATACATAAATAAAGAAAAAGTCTATTATTACTTAACAAAGTAATATGATTATCGATTTCAAATCGATTAAAATCAATTGTATTTTTAATGACAGCTTTGATTTTTTTTTAAGGGATTTTATGTTCTGGTAACTAAGACCTTTAAGTCATGTCTTATTTTCATTTATTTTCTTATTTTTATGAAAAATGATGAAATGAAATGAAGATGATTAATTTGAGACATTAATGAACTGGGATGAAATCAAATTAAATGAGATGAGATCATATGGGATGAAATATAATCTCAGTAAAATGGTGGTCATCTACTGAGACTTTTTGGAGGATCCCGAGAAGTGACAGCCAGCGGCTTTGTTTCATTTACCCACATTTGTGCACTTTCACAGATATTAAACAGTTAATAAACCACCATTATTACACATTTAAACCCGAAGAAACACTAAATAGACAAAAGAAAACAAATCACACAACTTCACTCCTCGCGTTCCCGCCAAAAAGTCTGACAGCTTTGACATGACGCTTGTTCATAGATTATACACTTAATATTTGGGTTTTGGCGCTTGTTGGTTTTTTCTGCTCTACTCGTTTTGTATTTTCGAAGCGTTTTGAGTGTGTATCTATATAGCTGTTTTTATTTATTTTCAACGATCACTGCTTTATTATTACGGATTCCAACCCTGCCTGCCTTGTACGACAGTTGCTTCTACACTGGACACCGAAGATCGCTCACACGTTTGACTTGAAATTGTTGAATTGGATACTGTTGAAATTATGGATCACTGTGTGAATTGTGGGATAGCAATTAATCATAACAATTCCATAGGCCGTCGACCCTTGGACAGTGTTACAGTATTATACGGTTGGATTATATTATATGGTTGGACCCTTGGACAGTATTATATGGTACCTTAGCTGGTTTAGGTACATAACAAGATAATATTGTTCCCCCTGCACTCACTCTTCCTGAACGGCATTTTAATAATAATTGAAGGTACAATACACTAGGTATACAATACGTTGTGTTTTATTTTTTTCGAGGCCTTTTAGGTAAATCTATACCTGATATAGATAATTAATATTCATTCATAATATGACATTCAAAAGATTATCTAATGGATATAATAAACATTTACTTATGCTTAAATAAGTTATTATTCAGCTCTTTTATAGAGATTGTAACATAACCTAACTTTTACTAAATCTTTATTAACTCGGCTCTCAGATTGAGAAAACTTTTAGAATTTTCAGCAAGGTACTGATAAATCTGAATCTATTAATTCATATTAGTTTCATCACGTTACATTCGGGCCCAAAAATGTATGTAATTGTTTCAGTCTCCTTTGTATATCTTCAGTACTGGGTGGTAGATTGGAGTTTTTGGGACTATAATCTTATACAGAGTATCTCACAAGGGGAGTACAATCGAAGCACGGTTAGTATCACTGATGCAAATCATATAAGTAAAAAAATGTAAGGTGTAATTATTAATGTATATCTATACTAATATATAGATCTACAGTGGTTTTACGGATGTTCCGTTATAACTACTGAACCGTGCATCCGATTGACTTGAAACTTGGTATCCATGTAGAAAATACATGTACTTAATGAATAGGCTAATATTTATATGAGTGTTGGACTTTCTACACCAGTTGCGGAGGCGTTAATAATGAGAATCTTTGTGGGAGGTGAGAAATAATAATGTTAATTTTAAATGCCCAGCGAAGCGGACGGGTACAGCTAGTCTATATATATAAAAATGAAATGTTGTTCGTTAGTCTCGCTAAAACTCGAGAACGGCTGGACCGACTTGGCTAATTTTGGTCTGGAATTATTTGTGGAAGTCCAGAGAAGGTTTAAAAGGTAAATAAATATGAAAATGCTCGCATTAAATAAAAATAACAATTTTGTTTTTCCTCTGACCCGTCGGACGGATTCCTTTTGTTTGTTTTAAGTTTATTTTATACCAAAGTTTAGGTCTTCTATTTATCGATTGACGCACTACGAAGTCTGCCGGGTCAGCTAGTAGTTTAATAAAAACAACTCGTGCGAACTCGACATACGGCCCACCTGATGGTGAGTGGTCGTCATTCGCCATTAAGTATGGGCACTCAATTACAACCAGTATTCACAAGTTGATTTCCGATACGAATAGGCATCTTTTGATGTTTTTTTTTTTATTGCTGATATGGGTGGGCGAGCTCACAGCCCACCTGGTGATAAGTGGTTACTGGAGCCCATAGACATCTACAACGTAAATGCGCCACCCACCTTGAGATATAAGTTCTAAGGTCTCAGTATAGTTACAACGGCTACCCCACCCTTCAAACCGAAACGCATTACTGCTTCACGGCAGAAATAGGCGGGGTGGTGGTACCTAACCGTGCGGACTCACAAGAGGTCCACCAGTACCACACAGGTACCACCAGTGAATGATGTACTTGAATGGGACTTGATGTACCCCTTGTGGAACATCCTGTTTATGTAAAACATTATATAAAATTATGTCCTGAACATATTCACTTTGTGTAGGCATTTTTCGTGATGCCCCAGGGCGAGCCTGCACGACGCGACCGTGGCAGTGTCCGCTATCAGTAACACAATCCGTATATGTTTGCGCGAGGTTCGTTCGACAGAGAGGCACTCACGGTGCTGGTGCTGGTGGCCGAGCTCGTGTCCGCGGAGGGAGAGCGCCCGTTGAGTCCGCTGCTCGAGGGAGCCTGCCTGATCCCCTGTAATTCCAAAATCAAATCAAATAAGACGCTTATTGGAACTACTTGCGCACCACTCGAGATGATAACATCGCGCAGCACGGACAGACTGACGCGCAATAACGGCTATATTCTCTTATAAATTCCGTCGTGTGAGTCATTTAAATTTAGAACCGACCCATAACATCTTAAGGTAGCGTCAGAACGCTATTTCGACAAAGCGGCTCGACACGATATCGTGGCCGCCGCTAGCACCGGTCACCGTCCTGCGAGCGAACTGACCCATAGACATAACCCACTGAATTTCTCGGCGGATCTTCTCAGCGGGTAGCAATTCCGATCCATGGATCTATCCAGCGCAGCTTTGCTTTTGTTAGGGGCAGTGTTAGCAATTTCTCTCAGGTTGAGCCTTGGATGTTGCAAAAAAGGGGCAGGCCAGATCTAGGCCCAGAGCTGCACAGTAATCTGGTTACACTAAAAAAATATATTAATATTTATCCTAGTTCTTCCTTGTATTCATTATTCTGTGCAAGTTGGTAAAAATTTTCCAAAAATATTAAACATTTAACGACTACGCTTGGAAGGGTACCATACATTACCGTACAAATGTTTCCCCGACAAAAAATATGTTGACAGAAAATTAACTGGAAAAATAATTTAATTTTTTCTATCATACATTATTTCACTATTCATTTTGTGAAAAATATATATATAATGATAGCATTGATTAAGTTAAAGTAACTATTATCGTTTTTTTTTTGTTTTTTATGGCAACACCATTACTGCCTTGATAGAAGACGGAAATCTTAAATGTCAAAATCATTGCTTGTTTTGCAACTGCCTTGTGACTGTTTGTGTACATGTTTATTGGTTTAAATCGACAGCTTTTACCTATACATACGGTTACTTACGGTAGGATGCTGTGCCCTGTGTACTGTGTGTAATATTTTCCCTCCAGCTCAATTTTTAGATGATGTTTTGGTAGTATGATAATGAAATTGATGAGTAAATCTGCCATGTAATGTGTTTTATTTCATTTCTAATAGATTTTAGTTCTAAATAAAATAAAACAATAGATAAACTAATACAGGATTTTACATACAGGACATTTTATATAACATGTATTGACGAGAGATAAAATTATTGAATAACTTTAAAATGCCACCTTTTTTCTACATTCCTTTTTTTACTAATTAATTATTGCCGTTGTCTGCTATTATTATCATGACTGTATAAATGTGCACTGTGGGCCTAAATTACTATGGCGACCTGGCATTCCCCTTTATCTACATAAAGATTTGCGGTATTTAATTTTATACTGAATTATGACACCTACTTCAAAATAAATTCAATGTATGCTAATGAGAATGTTTAATGTTAATTTGCGATTGATGTTGTTTTCCTAAAACCAACTTTGACGCATCATCCCCCTTATTGATAAACTAAAGTCATGGAAAGGTTAGTTACCTGATCAAAGAGTATGACCGGGAGCGGGACGGAGTCGCTGCTGGTGGTGGCCCTCTGCGCGCCGCCGGTGCGCGCGTCTGTAACAAGCGTACCGGGTGCCCTAGCCTTGCGAACTCAACGTTTTAACGCTCTTAGTGACAGTTGCACGGCGGCAGATATAGGCCGGACCGTGGCAGGTACCCGGGCCGACGCACAACACTATTCACATTTATGTTTGCCTTAGTTTCTTATTCCAATATAGTTTAGTTGTTAAATTTATTTTTAATTACAATGAGCCCGCACGGGTAGGCACCGCTAATAAAAACCCACATTCTTATATCTATGCAATAGAATAATTAGCTATCACAAACTTTAAGACGCCATACTACTATACTACACACAGCAAGTTGCACACGTGGCAAGAACCGCCGACAGTACAATAATTTTATAACATTGGCTAACGTCCTGACCGCACTCACCCATATATAAATAAATGAGCATTTTAATATTAACGTTTAGTCGTACACAATCCACAGGACAGCACATCGCGAGGTGTGTTATTCTTATCAATTGTAATGAAAAGTTCTTACTGTTGAAACTTTTATAAAATATAATTATCTGTAGTAAAATAAGTAAAGAATTTTTTTACTAAGTCAAACTAAAAAGTAGGAAAAGAATATATATTTTATTTTAATATTCCAATGAAATTTGAATTTAAAATACCTATGTACTGTTTTGTATGTACATTTTAACATTCGGATACTTAAATCTCCGACTTCTCATGCTATATCCAATCAACTCGACTGGGGTCAATCTACAAACTTTAAATATTATTCTGTAATTTTATTGAACTAGTATACTGACTGTTTCCATCCTGTCCGTTCCCCGCCTCCAGCTTGTGTAGGAGTCTATGGAACCTCTCGTGCACGACGCCGGTTAGCCGCCTCATGGCAGGAATGTGCTTCATGCGGTACAGCAACACAAACAGTTCCTCAATTCGATGGTTCTTCTGCCCCCAGCACTCCAGGAGGTATTCCGTTGGGGATATGCCCTGATGACGAGCCTTCTCTTTTATTTCCTAAATAGATAAACATACATTACAAATTAATTCATTCATCTTTATCATTAGAACTTTATCTTTATCATCTATCATTAGAACACAACTACTACACAAGAAATTCATAAAAAGAGTGATAAACAAAGCAAAAAGGTATGGAGCTTCTTAAGTCCTTCACATAAAAAAATGTACCCATCAAGTATATGATTTGTATCATGTGTATCATCATACTTGATGTGTACCCATCAAAAATGTACACATCAAGGAGTAGAGAACTACCTGCCCTTTGAGGATCAATATATGGTGCTGTTTTCTTTTTTCATACTTATAATTAAATATGTAGATGTTTTGGCCTACATAGTGCAAATATTATGATTTCCATATTTTCATCTCTAACTCCAACATCTCTCATCTCTAACCTCAATATAATATAATATAATAATATTTTATACCATTCATAATTTGTCAATTGGGAAATATAAATTTTTTTAGCATTCACATGTAAAACATATATGATTTCATAACAGTGAAAGTTGAATATTAATGAACTTTCACAAAATGTTTTATGCAAATATTTTGTAACACTAGTTGTATTATAGGTCAGATTTCATCCAGTTCTGGATCCATCAGTGCTTGGAGATCATACTCCAAGCAAATTCTAGTAAACAATTATTAGTTTAAGGAAAACAATTACGTACTAAATTTATTAGTCAATTAATGACATATGTCAATTGCTATGTGAATGAAGGAACTACATACATAGGTTTGAAATTGTGCTCCTCACAGCAAGAATACTAAACTTATGTTTAATTGGTTCAGTAGTGTTGACCTGTTCAAGTCATAGTAATTTCAATTCAATGAAATATTTAATTTGATCTTAAAATGTAGTAATTTTTTTGTGTTGCGATGGAAAGAACAAGTTCAGAGATCCTTGCTGATTCAGGAGCAAAACAGTATTCCAAATCGGTGATAAAAAATGACATCAGTAACGGCCTACTTAAATATAAGACTGATTTGATTTGACTTGTATACTTTTACTGTTTTTATATTGTGCTATACTGTGTTGTGTCAGGAACAGCGAAATTTTTGTTCTTCAATCGGATTTTTCATTAAAGTTCCCTAAGGTCTGCATTTGGGAAATCCCAAGTGATTCTTAGTAATAAATATACTTACGATGACGTCCATCGCTGTGTACATCATGTAATTGCCGGCCAGCTCCTCCCAGTAATCGAAGTTGTCCAAAAGTCGACATAGTTCTTTGTTAATCTCGGGTGGTAATTCGTAAATGTACATTTTCACTAATTATTAAGGACTTTAGTTTCAGTCCAAAACATCACATTGATTTAATTGTGTTTCATTCAGCAGGTAGCGTTTCCTACGACTGTTTATTTATACTATGTGTAATTGACAGTAATTGTGTACTATTGTCTCTGGACTGTTTAAGATCTATGACGTTTTAACTGAATTTCACTGTCATGTAGTGATGGCCGAACTTTCAAATTAGGCAAAGAGTACATTAATTTCAACTGATTCAGGTGAGCCTGAATCCTTTCATAGTCATTTAACAGTTATCTCATAACATAATATTAATCTCAGAAGATAACAGTTACCTGGAATCCAGAACTCGACTCGAATTGAATACTTAGACCGTGTCTTCTTGGTTTCGTTTACGTTAAAAAATTTGTAAGACAATGTCGAGGAATTTCTGCTCCTTTTCTCTGAGCGGTGCGATCAGAAGATTTGTATTGGGTTATAGCGCTATTCACATGGATTGTAAAGATTGAGTACATTGACTATAAAAGTATTTATTATAGACAATTAAAAGACAAACCAAAAGCAACCTATAAAATGCACCCTAACTCTTTTATTTCTTTGTTTATTACCAATCTACCTATACACAGAGCTATTTTTGCCAGTGTCGTGTAATAACTACTCAAGGACTATAAGCAGATAAATTGTGTTAGTTGTGTTGATGCTAGGAATAAACATAAAACACAAATAGAGTGCGCGCAAGATAAGTCTGCACGCTACTGGTTGCGTGCGTACTGCATTATGTTGCCAGCTTGACTAATATTTATTCCTTCGTTTAATGAAGTGATATCTCATTTTACATACTAAAAGTAATTGAGATATACAGAATACAGTTGTTGCACTAGGCTATTTCAATTAGGATATAATAAGGAGATTAAAACGCAATAAAAACCTTGTAAGTTGTTTATTTAATATCATGCAGTATATTTAAATTTGGCATAGAAATGGTCCTGCAGTCAATGCCTTCGATTCGGACATTTTCATCAGAAGCCATACTAGACTTTACACTTCTTGTAACTGTAACCTATAGGATGCTTCTTATAGATGTTCTACTGTATTTAAAATTAATATCAGTTTTTAATTCCAACCAAAGTTTGTTTATTGTAGGGATTTCATTCTTCTCGATATCAAACAAATATAATATTTTATGTCTTATAGCAGACTTATCAAAATCATCTAATTCAGAAATCTTGTTCTTCCCGTTTCTTGCTTTTAAGAAGAGAACTACAATTGAATAATTAACAAATAAATCGAGAAAAATGCGGAACTTTTAAAGATTTGGTAGGCCCAAAAATTACGTTGAAATGGTAATATAGGCCCGTTTTTGTCTCGTTCTTCTTCGCAAGCACGTTTAACCTGCTAAACAATATCCCTGCTAGCACTTTTAATCACTTTCGGCATAATGTTATAATCAAATCAAATCAAATCAAAAAATTTTATTCAACATAAATGAAAGTACATACTTGTTGAACGTCAAAAGAATTACCGCCAATTCACAAGAATTAGCCTCCGTCCTGAGAAGAATTGGCAAGAAACTCAGCGGGCATGTTTTTTTTTTTTTTTTTCATCTTCTTCTTCTTTCATCATCTTCATCAGAGCTGAAGACTGGCCGTCGTCTAGTCCCGATCTTAACCCGCTGGATTATGATTTATGGTCAGTTTTAGAGAGTACGGCTTGCTCTAAACGCCATGATAATTTGGAGTCCCTAAAACAATCCGTCCGATTGGCAGTGAAATTTTTTCCCATGGAAAGAGTGCGTGCTTCTATTGATAACTGGCCTCAACATTCAAAGGACTGTATTGCAGCCAATGGAGACCACTTCGAATAAGCTTTTTATACTTTAAATTATTTTATATCTATGTATTAAACTAACACACTGTAAAAGTAATAAATGTTATTTGCAATAGATTTTTTTATTTTTTTATTGTAACAGTATTTATGGCCAGACTAAGTAGTCGCTGGTTTATCTTCTATTACTTTGGTTTAGTTGTTCTCTTTCTATTTACATTGCTTATCTTCAATATACAGATTTTTTTTTCCTTTGTCTCAGTATTTATGGCAAGACTAGGTATATTAATATATGGATTAGAATCAGATGAAGTCGAATTATTTGATCCAATTGTTTACAGTTGGATTGAAATTAAATAATGGTGGTTTTACTGGTGGCAGGACCTCTTTTGAGTCCGCACGGGTAGGTACCACCACCCTGCCTATTTCTGTCGTGAAGCAGTAATGCGTTTCGGTTTGAAGGGTGGGGCAGCCGTTGTAACTATACTGACACCTTAGAACTTGTATCTCAAGGTGGGTGGCGCATTTACGTACCAGCTATTGTGACCTATCAGCTCGAGTGCTAGTAACGAGGATGAGCCATGCTGACCGGAGATTCGTGAACTTCTCAATAATTGGATTCACTTTCTCAAAGTACACATCAACTGTAAGGCTAGTATCATTTGGTAAGAGGCTATGGTGAATAAAGAAGGCACTAGGCCACCAAACAGTAACCATGACTGTTTCGTCGTTCAACAGTAGTAAATTTTCGTTTTGTACAGAACTGGGACTAATTTGGAGTAAGTGATTCTAACTTGATTTTTTTAATGAAAGTTAAAGGTTACCAAAAATCGAGTCGTCGCGTCACTACTGGAATGAGTGTCAAACATAACCGGTTGCCAGACCTCTTGAATTCCCTAAATTCAGTTGTATTTTCCAAATATACATGTCTTAATAAAGAAAACTTATTTTATTAAGGTTAAAATAAAAAAATGTAAAGATTCAATTTAGATCGATCGTTCATATCGACGAAGTACGTCCTCAGGTAGGACATCAAGCAAATATCATCACATGATTGATACGGAACGGTAAAGCGAATTATTGCGCGCAACATTTTTTTTTAAAGTGGAGTATCAAAACAGACGTGTTCGATGTAAGCTGATGTTAATAAATAATTGCAAGACTTTAATAATTTTGTGAATTTAGCTCACATCAGTAATTTTATTCACTATCTAATTAAGGGCTCGAAGCAGAGGAGCAGTCTCCTAGTTGCGACCTGACTAATTATGTTTACAGTATCATAAGTGAATCAATATGTTTGAATGACTTTACTCAATTTGCTTTACTCAATACGGTGATCTATAATTAGGGGTTAAAGTATAAAATTGCCGATTTGTACTGAAAAATTAAAGTCGTTTTTTTTTCATTTAACATACTTATTTTATCAAAATATCTACCATTATTATCTATACATTGCTATCATCTAATAGGAAGGTCATTTATACCTTTGCGATAGAACTCTGGTGATCTAGATTCCATAAACTGTGTGAAAGCATTTTGTACTGCCTCCTGGGAAGAAAACTTTTTATCACGTAGAAAATTGTCCAAATCACGAAAAACGAAAAAAATGGTAGTCCGTTGGAGCAAAGTCACAATTCGATCCAATATTCCTTCATTTCTGTATCGATTCAACAAGGCAACACAAGTTTCAACACGCGTTTCTTTCTGCAGATCAGTCAAATCATGAGGCACCCATTCTTCATATTTTTTGATTTTATTGATTCGACGCAAATGAGTCAATATTGTTGTTAAGGTAATGTTAAACCATGCCGCTAATTCCTGGGTAGTTTGGCTCGGATCGGCTTCCACCATCTCTTGCAATTCATTGTTATTCACATGTGTGATTCACACGTCTTCCACGTGGTACATTCTTCAAATCAAAATTTCCATCATGAAAGTGTTTAAACCAAAATCGGACGGTGTGTTCATTAGCAGTCCCTCTCCAAACGTAATATTGATATCGCGAGCTGTTTCTGCAGCGTTAGTTCCGCGTCGGAAATCGTATTCAAAAATCACTCGAATTTTCGAAATATTCATCTTTCTTGTCGAAGCTGAAATAAAAAAAAAAACAACTGAAGTCGATAGGTAATCGAATGTTGCGCATTTTTTAAAAGAAGAACCTCTGTACCCTTTGAGAAAAGTTTCACTCAAAAATTTTTTTTTATTGCTTAGATGAATGGACGAGCTCACAGCTCACCTAGTGTTAAGTGTTTACTGGAGCCCATAGACATCTACTACGTAAATGCGCCACCCACCTCGAGATATAAGTTCTAAGATCTCAGTATAGTTACAACGGCTGCCCCACCCTTCAAACCGAAACGCATTACTGCTTCACGGCAGAAATAGGCAAGGCGGTGGTACCTACCACCAGTAATTACGCAAATAAAAATTTTGCGGGTTTCATTTTTTTTACAAGATGTTATTCCTTCACCGTGGAAGTCAATCGTGAACATTTCTTGAGTACGTAATTCATTAGAAAAATTGGTAACCGCCTGGGATTCGAACACCGGTGCATCGCTCAACACGAATGCACCGGACGTCTTATCCCTTAGGCCACGACGACATTCAAAATTCTCAAACCATGAAGGTTCTATGTCAATTCGAAGTACCTATTAGTAATAGAACGGCAATTTCATACTTTAACCCCTATTATTATAAAGCTGAAGAGTTTGTTTTTTGTTTGTTTGTTTGTTTGAACGCGCTAAAAAATTATTTCAACGTCAGATAGCTCTATAATTGAGGAAAGCTATAGGCTATTCAACATCACGCTAAGACCAATACAAGCGGAGCACCAATAAGAATGTTTCAAAATCGGAGTATTTTTCTCTTTTGAGAGCTTTCGCTACGTGCTCTGCGGAAACGGTTAAAGTTTGACTAAAATAATGCATCACAAAATTGTTGCCCTTTAAAAGTTTTGAAAAAAAGTCCGCCACAGCATATGTCTATATTTCAAGGTTGGCTCACTATAACGTTTTATATGTTAAACAAATTTCTTGTTCTGTTCTGTTTGTTGTTCTAAAATAAGGCATTTTTTGTGAAAGTGTTTTTATAAATATTAATATCAAAAAATATTAATCAATATAAAATATTAATCCTTATCCAAATAAATACGTTAAATGTTACAACATTGAAACACCCGCATTACATCATTCCCGATCCTGCGGATAGAATGGAAAGCAGTTGACGTTGTCCCAAACACGTCATTTCGGATCCTCCCACTAGTTAAGGTTACGCTGATACCTATAGCCTCTCAAGACTCAGGTTAGGTAGGAAAAAAAAACAAAATCACTTCAATATAGGCTTTGACAATTATATGGTCGAATTGATAGCTTCCTCTTTTGAAGACGGTTAAAATGCGTGATTTTGGTACCTTAAATAGTTCCTTAACATTCAATTATTCAAAAATATTTTCACTTCGTACGTAAATGAAGAGACGGGTCAAATTTAGCGTTTTGCCAAAGTAATTATTCCACGCGGACGAAGTCGCGGGCAAAAGCTAGTCAGATTATATTACGTTCTTTATTTGTGAAGGACATTTATTTATTTTGCTTACCTAATCGTTGTTAGCCTAAGGGGCCATTCCAAAACACGCGGGCGGGTAGGTGAGCTCACGGGGCTCAACCTGAGAGACCTTGCTAACACTAACCCTAGCAAGAACACTGCTTCGTTGAATCTACCACCGGATCGAAGTCGCTACCCACTGAAAAGATCCGACGAGAAACTTAGTTTGTTGTATCTATGGGGAAAGTCATTGGCAATCAGAAGTGCAATAGCATAAGGGTAATAATTTTTGTTTTTTTTATAGCCTTCCAATCTGCCTGTAGTCTCGAGGGACTGTTCTGGCTTCACCATGACTGATGAGCGAGCTCGGGAGATTCAGTCTAAATGTATAACACTATCTAATTGACATGATAACACTAGCCCCAGCCAAATGAGTGTTTCGCTGCATCTACAGAAACGGAATCGGGACCTACTCAGGAGATCTAGCGAGTAACTCGGTGGGATGCCGCCACCTACCTTGAAACATAAGCTCTATAGTACAACGGTTTTTTGTTTTCGGGCCGGGGGCCGAACCTCCTACGAGGTCCCCATGCCCTGGGGGCGCGCGTGGTATTTGGGAATGCTCTGTGATGGCGCACCGCGGGCCCAATAACTTTTTAGGGCCCTACCACACTAAACGACTCCACTGCACTCTTACACCCGACGTCAGATCTCTGTCCAGGGTCAAAACCCGGTCAGGGTAGGGGGGTTACCGCGGTTAACACTACAACCAGACTCGCGGCGCCACCCCGAGGACGCCCGACCGGCGGGTCGTCGAGGCGATAGTCGACGAACAACGACATCGGTCTCCGTGGTACGGCGCCCCTACCAGGCCACCCAGGCGATTCCGCGGGTTTTCCGGGATACCACGCTAGGTCAGAACCAGCCTGCCGAGTCGGAGCGCGATACATCGCCGACCGGGTTGCTCTGCCACAGTATGTTCGGTGACGACAGCAACCAGCTGCCTACGACGCGTCATCCCCTCCTCGTGGTGCCAGTGCGCTAGAGTGACGGTAGCGTGGTGAGCAGCCTCGACCCCCTCAGGTCGCCCCGTGACCATCACCGGGAGGAGACTGCTTCCTGACAGGGGCTCTGAGGAATTGTTTAGGATCATTCCTTTATCTCGTCAGTACCGCACTGTACGTCATCGGAGCAACGTTCATGCATACTACCTCGAAAAACTACGTTAATTCATAGAGCGTTTCATGAGTTATCTTCTTCTTCAAACAAGGCTGGAGAGCAGTCCTGAGTGGTAGACAGCAGCAATGGGCTATATCTCTGGCATTGCTGATATTTGATATCCATGAGCGACAATAACTAAACGTCCCCATAGCTAAATGTATTTTGAATAGAACATTTTACAGAATTGACATGAATCATAAAATTGAATAACGAAAGATGTTAACGGTTATAAAGTGCATTTAAGAGAATATAACATATGTGAGGTAAGGTATATGTTTTGTAATATTGTATGAATGTTTGTCGATTGTGGTAGTGTAACCGCGTAATGCTAGAACTATGAACTGATTCATGGACGACGCCGCCTCTAGTGGTATACGGACAGGAGCTATTCTTTCTCATCGTAAATGCATTAATATTCAGTAAGTACCGATAATGGAAAAAAGTTGCGTTATAAAGCATAAGTCCAAGTGCGGAGTAAGAACGGGTCCGCTCTCCGCCTCTCAACATTTTAGAAGTCACAACCCTGGCACTGGCGACTGTGTGCAACTTGTGCTCTACCGCACTGCTAGACTGCTAGCAGGCTCTTTACTACTTGAAGAACAAGCTACCAGCAGTAGATATTATCTTCCCTATGTGGAAGCCATTGCTTTTTTTACTAGCTAAGGTAGACAGCTCAGGTCGGGTGTCAACCCCAGCCGGTGTCGGACCACAGTCCGCAGGGTCTCGCGACATTACATGCACATTACCAAGTGACTCTCCTGAGTACGTCCTACTGCTCAGCCGGGCGGAGCCACCGCTACCAGTATTACTAGTAGTAGTAGTATTGGTAGTACTAGGAGTTAATGCACAAGGGATGGATTGTGTGGTCGTTCGTTTGTCAACGGATTTTCTTTTTAAGTTTAGTAGACATTGACAGGCTTTAGGGCTGTAAATAAATTTTATTGTCAGTTTTTAGACAGTTTTTTTTTTGTTCTAAATAGACAAAACTTCAACGTCCATAGTTCTCTGTTCACACGTTCTATTCACGAACCGACCGTATCTCTTGTTGTATTGTTCAGTAGCTCTTGACGATTGAGCTTTAGTATTTTTAATGGTATAAATTGGAATTTTTTTTTATCATTACAAAAAAATTAAAAATAATAAAAATTAAATGTATCTAATACATATAAATGAATCTAAAATTGTTGGGTCAGTGTTTAGGGACGAGTTACTCCAACTCTATTACTTGTCACTATTACTTGTAATTATGTAAATCTAAACGGCACAGCATGGCGGGTACGACGCGTAGGTAACTCTCAGTGCCGTTTAGATTTCAAGAGAAAACATACAAAAACTGTGCGTCCAATATGTAGTGACCGCACAAAGACGAACCTTGGGACTATAGAAATGAGGACGTCTCGAACAAACAGCTAAATATTTATACAATTGTATGCTTCTGTTGTTTGTCTGAAAGAATAATCGATAACTTTATACCAAACGCGGACTGACACAAATCAGATAGAAATTACACAGACTGTGTAATTAATAAGGTCTCGAAGGTTCCGTAGCACGCGTGCTGCACGTGCACTGACTCCAGAGCAGATCCACTGGATAACAGTATTGTGTTATCTGGTAGTTGTCATGAATTTAGATTCTCAGTCTCCCCTAAAAATATAATAAAGTTTTATAATAGTTCAAAAGTTCTTTGTTGCAGTAAAAATGTATGGATTGCAGCGGTTGAGGCGAGCTAGGCAGTGTCGGCCTGCAGGAAACTGTAGATGTCGGAAAAGTATCGCGCGTGTCCGTGGAAAATGAAGCGATATTGCGCGAGTTACTCTTACGCAGGAATTAGAACAAACACACCAGACACTTGAACACACACGAAACCACACGAGCGCAGGGACGCACTCGCCCGCGCACTCCGCGGATTATAATAACAACATGCCGTCTCAACACTTCTGAACACTTCGGATTTATTATTAAGATTTGTAAAGTTGTTGTACTAACACACCAGCAGTGCTTTTAGATGGGTTGCCAATTAACACAATAACAAAAGCCCTAACTTAAAGTGTTTTTATTTATTAAAAACTAGTTAAAATAAATGAATCAAATTACTACAATGATTCGGATCAAGATAGTCTTGAGAAGTCACAAATTAGCTCTGGTTACCTGAACTCCACAGTTCATAGTTTTTTATAGGATTACAGCTGTAGATTCTACAAGGAGCTAAAGTGCTGTCAGAGATAGCGTCAAATATCTGGAAAACAAAATCATTACAGATTCAGATGTAGGCGCAGTGTGGCCGCTGCGTGTGTCGTCGCGTCGCGTCCACGTGGCGAGTGCAGCCCTGTGTCTCGAAGGCTGCAAAGTATCGGTACCGAGACCTACATTGTGGAAGTACAGGCGGGTCTCCTCTCAGTCAGGCTCCGAGCACCCTCCCACGCGCAGCTCTATCGGCTCACGATAACATCTAAGTGCAGCTGCAGTGTGGACGGACTACGCGAAACGACCAGGTGAGGAACACACTGGCCCTAACTCCACTCCGACTACCAGGACAACACGCATCTTAATAAACTACGAGTAATACTGAAACCCATAAACTCTTAGCATCTCGGTAACTTGAAAAATGCGTTTTGATACTATTCCCCAAACAAAATGTTATGTTTTTCATCCTTATTCTGTGGATTTGATTAAGAATTCAAAATCAATCTTATTTAGTATCATTTTCCGTGGCGACTAGTTTTTTCTACAGGGCGTGAAGTGATCAGCTGTTAGCGAAGCCTGCCAGCTGTTGCCAACTCACCACGCGGCGCACTCTCTCATCACCGACTCGTGCTGCCGGTGCGGGCGCTACTTGTGGACATCGGCAGAACCAAAGGCACAGAATAAACTATAGTCGCTGTCTCTCAAGGTACGGAAAAATCGAGAAGGCGAGTTTGTTCCGTACGCTATAATACTAGTCAAATTTTTTAAATCAACATTCCAAATAATTCCTTAAAGCATTCTCCACGCAAGGAAAAAATTCATTTTACCCATATCGACACAGTCATCTTCATAATTAACAGTTAAGCTTCACCAAATTTTACCCTTTCAGCGTTCGACGTGCGTCGCAGCCGTCTCGGAGGGAGTTTATCATGTGCTTTGGTTAATAGAGCTCACACGTCATGAAAGATATCATGGTATGTTCGCTCTGATAAAGTCAGAACACGACAGATTGTAATATGAAGCTCCGTGACGTCATTCGCTGTTACCTAACTGCGGCGTATTGAAACAGTGAAATTAAAGTAGTTGAAAAGCAAATGAGTCAAGTGTGTGAACGTTGTTTGTTCAGGTGGTGGCGGCATTGTGTCGGTAGCCTCGTCTGCCGCCGGTAGGTACCTACACGGAGACAGCACGCGGTCGCGGCGGACGCGGCCGTCGGCTCCCGGACATGTGGGTACGTGCTCTATAGGTACTACGTGTCGACACGTACATGGATGTGGCCCACGCACCGCATGCCACGTGCGCGCCGGAATGTGGATACCTACTTCTGTTCCCGCAACTATCTATCAATCCATAACTTAACGGTAACAATAACTTTACAATATTTGAAAAAAAAAGTTATTTCTGCCATGAATGTACACAGTAGACAGTAGACAGGGCGCGGCCGGTGCGGGGCCCAGCTCAGCAGGTATCTGACTCCACACTCGATCTGCCCTTATAATTATCATACATATGTATATTAGCCTGTAGTATTGCAGTAGAAACTGAAACTTTCTCAAAAGAGGATCCCTATTCACAAGACGTAAATAAAAGCTTTCCATAATAATATAATGATAGGGCTGTAAACACGAGATCTCTCCGTAAAAAGCAGCCTGTGTAGAGCGCGCCGCGCCGGGCCGGCTCTGACAACAGCACGGCGTCGTCGTCTGGCATCAGACACAAACTAAGAGTGCTAACAGCAGTACCTACACGGTCTTGCGGCACAAGTAGGCAGAGCGGTGATACCCACCCGGGAGGGCTTTTGTACCGACACACAAATAAATCTGTTTTATGTTAGTTACCTACATCATAGATCTGATTCGCGAGCACGTGGCGTGTACCAGCGCGACGGTGGTCACTCACTATCAAGTGCGCCGAGCGCCAACTGCTTTCGGCAACGATATTAGTACATCGTTACCCGTAACATGTCGTGTCGGATCCTCTCGATTCACTCTCGGTGCTAAGAGTTCGACATCCATCCTGACCCACTAAGTTTCTCGCCGGATCTTCTCAGTGGGTCGGTGATAGATTTAGCGAAGCACTGCTCTTGCTAGGACTAGTGTTAGCAAGTTCTCTCAGGTTGAGCCCGTGAGAACCTGGAATAGCCTCTCAATGCTACTAGTGATTAAGTACGGAAATTTCCATCGGTACCCGCAGGGTCGAGCCACGACAATCGCATATCGCAAATAATAAATCAAAAGTTCGTATAGTAGGTACTAGTAGGTAGGTGGATAGGTAGGTAGGTACCTGTAGACTATGAATTAACATATTTGTGTTTAGTGCGTCGCGTCGTGCTCCCGTACATAATATAATATAAAAATAAATATAATGTGTACGTTATTATGGTCTATTACTAAATATTATTTACTTGATCTTGTTTACTTAAAATTTCTGAGGAATAGATAAGACCGTAAATAAATGTTTGCTAAAATGCATTAATTGAATATAATGAGAGGTTATTAAGTAATGGTGTTTGTGAGGACAAAGAGACCACTAATGATTGGTTCGATTATTACTCAAATTATAATGTTGTATGAATTTTTGGCGATTTGAAAAAAAAGGGAACCCAAAAGAGAAAAAAATTGAATGAAGCAACTCAGTGGGCTTCTTATAGGTAGGAGTCGTCAGGGATGGAAGTGGGACATTAGTCTAGGTCCTTCCTAGGCGCCCCCGCCTCACCCCCGGCACAAAGTAGCCTGCTGAGCAAACTCTCCCGCCTCGGAAAGGAAAATAAATAAAATATAACAGATAAGTGCTTTGAATAGAAAAGCGCTGTATAGAAAAGTACTTTAAATATATTGAGTAAAAAGCGAAAAATGATTATATTGAATATTCAAAACGTATTATAAAACCTCCTAAACGTATTATATAAGTCTCATGAGGAAGGATATACATATGTTTCTTCAATTATGGTTCCGTATAAGTTGGCTGCAATGTGGGAGTACACACACAGTAACCAGAATATATTTGTAGAAAATGTCTTTAAGCATATCTTTTTCTAATACTAACAAAATTTTTGGGGTAATTATTAACGTATCTTTGTTAAAACAAATGAGAGAGTTGTTTTCTGCAAATTAATTAAATTAAGCCGTTTTTATGCAAAACTTTTCTGATACACTTGAATTATTACTAGTGTCATTCGGCGCGCCGTTTACGCAGAAAAATCTCCTACCCGTGCGAAGTCAGGACGGGTTGCTAGTATGCTATAGTATAAGTATAAGTTGGATACCAGTAAAGACATGTTCGAGACGTTTCTTTTTTTTTTTTAGTTTTTTTTTATAGACACCCTATGTTATTTGTGCTCTGCGTAAGCCCTGTCCCGCCGTCTCAATAGCTCCGACTGGGTTCCCGCCCGGTCCAGAGTAGGGCGCCGGCTGTGAGCGGCAGGAGTTTTTAATGAGGTTCGACTCCCACATACCCCACCTGCCGTGCGGGTGGGGATCCGGAATCGTCACCTCGTACATAATAATATGTTGAACGATATGACCGTAGAGACGACGCGTGTTCACACACACGGCGCGCGCCTTCGGGTGGAAGGGTAAAACAACCCGCTACTTCTTTATTTTTTGTCTATCTAAGCTGATAGCCTTGAGAGGCTATGTCAGCGTATCCCTAATAAATAGGTGAGCTCACGGGGCTCAAACCTGACAACGTTGCTAACACGAACCCTAGCAAGAGCCGTGCTTTTTCAGAATCTATCACCGGATCGGAAGCGCGACCCACTGAGAAGATCCGGCGAGAAAGTCAATGGGCTGGGTCTGTGGATCCGCCAATTGATTACGTCAACGCAACGAAAATTACAAACTTTATAGCTCTTTAGTAGGTCTGGGTTTTAATTGCTAACATAAGTGGCCGAACTTATGGCCCACCTGATGTTAAGTGGTTACCAGAGCCCATAGACATCACCCGGGTCATTGCCGCCACCCTTCTTGAGACATGACTTCTAAGGTCTCAATTTTTACAGTACAACGGCTGCCCCACCCTTCAAACCGAAACACATTACTGCTTCACGGCAGAAATAAGCAGGGCGGTGGTACCTACCCGCGCGGACTCACAAGACCTTCTACCAGCTGTAGTTACGCGGTTTTTTTGCGAATTTGTTTTGTTACACGATGTTATTCCTTCCCGTGGAAGTAATTCTTGAACACTGTCAAGTGCGACGTATTTTATTCGAACAATTGGTACCGGCGCAGTCGCGGCGCTCGATGCAAGTGCACCGCCTTATCCTCCAGAAATCATTTAATGAATCTAGTTTTAATTCAAATTAGTGGACTTCAAACGAAGACTACATCGGATTCGAACAACATACTGTGAACTGGTGTCCCTAGTTGTTATATATGTTCAGTAGAATACCGGGTCTCATAGAGCTGAAGCCACAAATGACGAAATACAAGCACTCGGCGTCACTTTCCTCCTGGAGTGTTCTAATGCGAACAGTACGAGGAGTATGGGCAGCTGCTTTGCTATTATACGGACGCTTAGAGTCGTTCTTCGAGATGGCGCAGTATTTATTTACGTTTTATCGTTTCCAGGGTGTCGCGGCTGTCGAGCAGTAAGTGCGACGTGAGCTGGTCCCTGCAGAGGCCCGGCTGGTGGCTGGCGGCTGTTGTTAGGCGAAGTTGGTTTGTGACCGTCACTAACGGGCAGTGTTAATACGGTTGCTCGTTTTGGCGATCGCAAAATGAACTCGCTTGACTATAATCTACGATCTGTCTCCCCGCCCCCCGCCTCCCGCCGCGCCCGCTCCCCCGCTCGTGAGCCGCGGACCATGACATAGAGAAGGTGGAAGGTGCGAGCGCGACTGGCGACTGGAAGAAATGGACGCTACTGGTCGAGTACCGTCGGATCGGCACAGCTCGAAGAACTCATTGTCAAGCGTGCAACAGTCGTTTAAGCTATAACACAATGTAATAGACATATAAGTTACGGTAAAAGTAGATATTGCGGCAAATGTACACATTTTCCGGTAAATGTGCACATTTGCCTCCTCGTTTGGGTAATGTGCATTCAACTAACATTTACAATTTTAAAGAAGGGAAATATACATTAAATTCACAATGACCATGTCGCTTTGGTAAATGTGAGCATGAGATACAAAATACGAAATCGCAAGTGCAAGTAATGTGGTGCGCATGCGCATACGCACAACTACAACCTAACCTTTTTTTTTTCCGGGCCGGGGGCCGAACCTCCTACGAGGTCCCCGCGCATAAGGGGCGCGCGGGGTATGTGAGACTCAACGATCTGCAGGTGTTGAGAGCAGATCGCGGGCCCAAGGATTTTAGGGCCCACCCACTAAACGACTCCCCTGCACTCTTACACCCGACGTCAGATCTCTGTCCGGGGTCAGAACCTGGTCAGAGTAGGGGGGTTCCCGCGGCTAACAGTACAACCAGACTCGCGGCGCCACCCCGAGGACGCCCAACCGACGGGGCGTCGAGGCGATAGTCGACGACCAACGACGTCGGTCTCCGCGGTACGGCGCCCCTACCAGTCCGCCCGGGCGGTGCCGCTGGTGTTCCGGGATACCCCGCTGGGCCAGAACCAGCCTGCCGGGAACTACAACCTAACCTAACCTAATCTACGACATGCTATATAATATGCAAAGAAAAGTATGTTTTGTTTGTCATTAACATTTTTTAATTAAAATAATTTTCGTTACTAAAGCCTTTTGTATTATATTTATTTCAATAATATTTTTTTTACTGCAACAACATTATTAATTTATTTGTATTCCAACTTTTCTTAAAACATGAAGTTAAGAAAAACATGAAGGCAAGAGTACACATTTTCCGGGAAATGTACATATACATTATATTCGGTTCACATATACCTAACTTTTTAGTAAAAGTGTACATTTCCCAAGAGTGTACATTTACCGTAACATATACACACATAATGTTGTTAACTTGTGTTAAATAATAATTAATAAAATAAAATAAATAAATAGTATATGTACTTTGAGTTTGGTGTGAAGTACTAGAGTTACATTGTGAGAATGACGGGCGTTATATTTATTAATATCTTACAAATAATAATAATATATTTTAACAAAATAATATTACTCAAATGTGGTTCATCATTAATGTATGATTGCAATAGCTAATACATAGTTTATGGTCAGTGCTCAGAGGGCAGGAGGGCCCGCCCTCTCGGCGCGCTCCTACCGCTTGTTTCGTGTATTATATTTAATAGAACTTATCTTCTTAGTACATCATAAAGGAGTTAGAAATTCTAAGTTTAGTTTTCATTGAGTTCTGGAGTTGTGAAATCATCATTGCGCTCATCATCACTTAGAAGCCATTTTAGGCGCATAAGAAAACAAAAGTATGTTATTAAAACAATCATTTATTAATGAAGAAACAAACACAACCATTAGTCCCTTTATTTGTACGCCTATTATGTAATTACAAAATAAACTTATGAATAGAGTAAGCAACATTATTGTTTTCGTAAGCAGGTAACGGAACACCACACTCACTAACAGTTTTTATTTTTTATTGTTTAGGTAGGTGAACGAGCTCACAGCCCACCTGCTGTTAGGTGATTACTGGAGCCCAAAGACATCTACAACGTAAATGCGCCACCCACCTTGAGATATGAGTTCTAAGTTCTCAAGTATAGTGACAACGGCTGCCCCACCCTTCAAACCGAAACGCATTACTGCTTCACGGCAGAAACAGGCAGGGTGGTGGTACCTACCCGTGCGGACTCACAAGAGGTCCTACCACCAGTACTTACGCAAATTATAATTTTGCGGGTTTGATTTTTATTACACGATGTTATTCCTTCACCGTGGAAGTCAATCGTGAACATTTGTTGAATACGTATATCATTACAAAAATTGGTACCCGCCTGCGGGATTCGAACATCGGTGCATCGTTAGATACGAATGCACCGAACGTCTTATCCTTTAGGCCACGTAGTCCTGGTACATTTCGGATATTTCTAGTTTCCACGCTACCCGATGATATGTAGGCGAAGTAAAATGTCCCTTAGAAATAAGGTGACACTCTACAAAACTTGCATACGCCCCGTCATGACCTATGCAAGTGTAGTGTTCGCTCACGCGGCCCGCATACACTTAAAATCCTTCCAAATCATTCAATCCCGTTTTTGCAGGATAGCCGTCGGAGCCCCGTGGTTCGTCAGGAACGTCGACCTCCATGACGACCTGGACTTAGAGTCCATCAGTAAGTATCTGCAGTCGGCGTCCATGCGCCACTTCGATAAAGCGGCACGACACGAGAACCCTCTCATCGTGGCCGCCGGTAACTACATTCCCGATCCTGCGGACAGAATGGAAAGCAGTCGACGTCGCCCAAAACACGTCATCTCGGATCCTCCCGATCCACTAACGGTGCTTTTAGGTACTTCAAGCACCGGTCACCGTTCTCGTCGAACCCGTCGCTTGCGACGAAGGGCTCGACGAGTAAATTAACTCTCAGACACAGCCCACTGAGTTTCTCGCCGGATCTTCTCAGTGGGTCGCGTTTCCGATCCGGTGGTAGATTCTGCGAAGCACGACTCTTGCTAGGGTTCGTGTTAGCAACATCGTCAGGTTTGAGCCCCGTGAGCTCACCTACTAAAGTTAGGGTTACGCTGACATAGCCTCTCAAGGCTATCAGCTTAGGTAGGAAAAAAAAAAAAAAAAAAAAAAGTTTCCACGCAGCGGCTAACCGTTACCCTAGAATCTCTATGGGTCCTGTGGTGGAGTAACTTCATAAAATGTAATACATATGACGTTTGCACAGCCCACAAGCCGCCGCGTGCCCCGCCGCCCTACCCGCTCTGCTACTGAGCCTTCTCAGTTCTCTGTACAATAAGCTAATTAATAAGCGTTCATGTTGAACCCAAACACAAGCCCGCGTGTCTGTACGTGGTACTACATACAGACACGTGACGGGCGCACGTCGCGAGCTGTTCCACACGCGACTGACGCGACAAAACATCCAAATGTGATAACATATATATATTTTTAAATCAATGCATATAATAAAACCTCCTATGTGTCTGTATATTGAAGATAAGCAATAAAAATAGAAAGAGAACAACTAAACCAAAGCAATAGAAGATAAACAAGCGACTATTTTAAAGTTATTTTTCTGTTATTTTGCGAAGATCTTCGGAACTTTTATTTATGTATTTTTTATTGCGTAGATGAGCTTAGAGCCCACCTCATGTTAAGTGGTCACCGGAGCCCATAGATGACTACAAGGTAAATGCGCCACCCACCTTGAGATATAAGTTCTAAGGTCTCAGTATAGTTACAACGGTTACCCCACCCTTCAAACCGAAACGCATTACTGCTTCACGGCAGAAATAGGCAGCGCGGTGGTACCTACCAGCGCGGACTCACAAGAGGTCCTACCACCTGTAATTACGCAAATTATAATTTTGCGGGTTTCATTTTTATTACACGATGTTATTCCTTCACCGTGGAAGTCAATCGTGAACATTTGTTGAGTACGTAATTCATTAGAAAAATTGATATCCGCCTGCGGGATTCGAACACCGGTGCATTGCATGATACGAATGAAACGGACGTCTTATCCTTTAGGCCACGATGACATCTCTTCGACTCTAAATGGAAGTTCATATAATTTGGAGGAGAATACAGACTTTGTTGCCAAATGTTATCGTCAACTAAAGATTCAACTTTTATTTTTGAGTGCTGCCTGGTGTTCGAAGTTATGTAGTCAATAATACGATTAATGAATAGGGAAGCAGCTCTACCGGGAGCAGGTGCAGCGATCCTGGTACATCCGGCCGCTGAGTTTCTCGCCAAATTTTCTCAGCGGGTCGCGATTCGGATCCGGTATTCGCGAAGCAGTAGCCTCCGAGGTTTTAGGTGTCCTTTGGAAGTTTTCGGGCAGATGGTATAAAATTCCACCCCTCCCGGCTGAGACCGAGCTCACCTCTCTGTCCTGGTTAAGCCGAAAAGGCCAACGGGATCCATGCATCTTTAAAAAAAGCTGCAACTATAGTCGGATCGTTGATAGCTGCTGTTACCAGAGCCGTTCAGTATATATATTATTTATTCTACGATCGCTAAAGCCGTGGCGCAGCTTTTTCAGTACAGAGGGTAAGGCTGGCCGTGTACTATGATATGACATATAAGAGTAAAGAACAAAATATCTTCGGCTCTTCTTCCTGGTAAAATTGCATTCCGCAAAAAACTTCTTGAATAACAAACATTTTGATTTGTTACCTCTTAGAATAGCGCTCCTACCTACTAACAGTCACTTAAGAGCTTGTAATGGACTCGACGTGGAGACAAGTTCACACGTCTGATGTGGTGGCGAGTTGGCGACGCACACACACAATGCTCAGTTGTTACGCAAATCTCTACATTCTGCGGGTTTCGTTTAGTACCACTAATAGGTACCCTAGTACCATAAATAGGCAGGGCGGTGGTACCTACCCGTGCGGACTCACAAGAGGTCCTACCACCAGTGATTACAAATATGAAGTGCCAACAACGATGTGAACAAGGCATTCAGTTATTTGTTGAGTTATTTATTAGGTCACTGGAACTCTGATGTAAGCGGTTTTTATTACGTCTTTAACTATGAAGTAGCAATTTAATACACAGAAAGTTAAAATCATATTTTTTTAATTTAATTTTATTTTTTACGACGAGAACGATGACCGGTGCTTGGGATACCTAAAAGCACCGTTAGTGGATCCGGAGGATCCGAAATGACGTGTTTGGGGCAACGTCGACTGCTTTCCATTCTGTCCGCAGGATCGGTAATGTAGTTACCGGCGGCCACGATGAGAGTTCTCGTGTCGTGCCGCTTTATCGAAGTGGCGCATTAATTTCGACTGCATATACTTACCTACTAATGGACTCTAAGTCCAGGTCGTCGTGAAGGTTGATGTTCCTGACGAACCATGGCGCTCCGACGGCTATCCCGCAAAGACGGGATTGAATGATTTGATATTAAACAAATGATGATCGTTTACTATTATTAAAAACAACCT